TGTTAATGTTAGTGTTTTTTTTTTTTTTTGGAGAGGTTTGTTTGTTTGTTTGTTTGTTTTCCACTATAGGGCACGTGCGCTCGCCAGACAGACAGAGAGAGAGAGACATAGAGACAGAAAGCGAGAAATCACCCCCCAGGGGGGATGGTCACGCCGCAATCCCTTCTCCTCCATTCTCCTCCCGGGATCTTGGGCATGCACGCACACGTGTCCGGCGTGAGTGTAAGCCACCGTGTCCGGGACGCGAACCGCGGTCAACTACGTGGGAGTCCAGCGACATAGCCATTACGCTAACTGCTGGTTCCCTCTCAATGATAGCTTTTAACAAAAGAATCTGACCTAAGCTATAGGCTCACAGAGCTTTTCTCAGGAGACTGGAGAGGTCATCTGGAGTTAGAGCTCAGGGCTGGCATGGGGAACGTGCTTGATGGAGTACATATTATTTCCTCCGCTTCTGGGAGAACTGGAGGGCTTTCAGAGGCTGATTAGGGCACTGTGGCTGGAGCATGGTGAATAGAGGACAGAGAGGGACAGAGCTGAGGCCCGAGAGGCTGGCTGAGTCCCAGTTGCCTTGAATGTCACGTCAGATTTTCAATGTTATACTAAGAGAAAGAAATGGGCCGCCTTGGAGGCTATGTTGATCTGCCTATTGATTCTGTCCAGATGGTAACGTAGGACTGTATACTGATGCTTAGAGTTGTTTTTCACTGTTCAGTATTGGAGGACTTTAGAAAAAAAAAAATTATCCTCTAAAGCTCACAAGATACTTCCCACTCTTTGCAAGTTACACATCCTTCATTAAGATTTCCAACTATCACGCAGTTACCATCAGAAAAAGGGACGGTGAAGCTGTTATTGACTGGCCCCATTGGACTGTGTTGTGTGTTTGCTAAGCTGAGACAGTGCTCAGTTATTTAGAGATCAGTCTTTTCAATGTTAAAGTAAAAGATTTACTTTGTGAATTAAGGAATACACAAATGGAAGTGTCATAGCCCTGCTCTTAAGGAGAGAGGATGATATTCTTATTTTCACCTCCTATTTTTTTCCAGCCACCTAAGGGAAGGTATGTGGCTGGAAAAAAAAGCAACATTTAAGAAAAAATAGTTGGCAATTAATCCAAACTCGTTTATGTTAGAATGGTAACTTTCCACTTTAAATTTATTATTAACTTTGAAGATGTCATCTGTGTACATAATGTGTTCACTTATTACACTGTGTAAAGGTTACACTTTTTCTTGAGTTTATGCTAATTATGTTTTCTGAAAAGAGAAATTCCAGGAGCAGTGAGGAAGGGAAGAATGTTTACTCCAGAGGCTAAGGGTTCATAAGGGCTCACGGAAGTCCATAATTAACAGTGCATTTAGCTGATAGAAGAGTAGCATCCAGAATACAAAAGAACACTGAAAATCACAAGCAGTACAAACAAAAAAAACGTGGACAATGAATATACAAAAACAATTCGGAAACATTAGACTCTGGTCATTGAGCATGTGAAGAACAGCTCCGGTCAGGGAATTACCACTGAAACAATTGAATTTTACGCCTATTATATTGGCAGAAATGGAAGTCTATTAGCACCGATATTGGAGAGGCATTGAGAAAACATGAATTCTTTTATCATGCTGATGGAATGTAAATTGTAGTTCAGTTTAGAGAACAAATCAGAAGCTAGTGACAGTAAAAAAGACCATGTTCTATGACTAGTACTTTCAGAGCTTGGTAAATATCATAAAGAAACTCACAAGTGTGTGCAAGTCTTGTACAAAGGTGTGAATCACAGCAATGCATAGAGTAGAAAAAATTGAGAACAGTGTTATCATCCATAGTCTTAACAGGTGAATCAGCCACAGTTCATTGAAACGGCAGAATGATTACAAAGCTAAAATGACTACTAGATTTATATCTGTTAATGTGGATAAACCTCTAAGCATTCTATTGAGAAAAAAAAATCCAAGTTATAACATGATTCTGATTTGTATAAGCATTAAAAACATATGGGACCAGCAGTTGGCGTAATGGTTATGTCACTGGACTCCTATGTAGTCGACCACAGTTCGAGTCTTGGACCCGGTGGCTTAAATTCACACTGCGCATGTGCGTGCGTGCGTGCCCAAGATCCCGAGAGGAGAATGGAGGAGAAGGGATTGTGGCGTGGCCATCCCCCCGGAGGGTGATTTCTCACTTTCTGTCCCTCTGTCTCTGCCTGTCTTTATGGCAAGTACATATGACCTATAGCAAAAAACACTCAAACACACACACACACAGCGGAGCTGGCAGGTGGCATGATGGTTAAGGTGCTGGACTCCCACATGGGAGACCACGATTCCAGTGCCATGTCTGGTGGCTTGCTGTCTCACCTTCCTTCTCCCTGTGTGTCACTCTCTGGTCAAATAAGAAAATAATAATAATAAAATGAAATTAAATAAAATAATTCTTTCAAAAACACACAAAACAATTCTGCATGAATACTAATGTGTTGTAAAAATATAAAAACATGTTATGTTTGGACTTGAGAAGAGATGGAAGTTGACCTTTCAACTATTTCTTTAACTTGGAAAATTACATCTCTTAAATCTGTGTTTTTGGAAACAAATATCTGTTATATTTTGATCTTTTATGCATGTGTGAAATATACTTTCACATAAAATATTTAAAATTTGAGACTAGCCGTTAGCATAATGGCTATGTCACTGGATTCCTGTGTAGTCCACTGTGGTTCGAGTCCTGGACTCGGTGGCTTAAACTCACACCGGGCACATGTGTGTGTGTGCCCAAGATCCCGAGAGAATGGAGGAGAAGGGATTGTGGTGTGGCCACCCCCTCGGGAGGGTGATTTCTCACTTTTTGTCTGTCTGTCTGTCTTTCTGGTGAGCGCACGCACCCTATAGCAAAAGCCTCTCAAAAAAAATAAATAAAATGCGCTTGCAAAATCAAAATAACATATAGCGTGGGTAGTGGGCACAGGATGACTGGAAAAGAAAGAATCTTGCCAGGGAGCCAGGCAGGGACCTGGGTCTGTGTTCTGTCCTCCTTGGCATGAGCAATAGAATGGCATCTTTTACATTTAAAATGTTCCTTTGAGGGATTCTGTTGACTTGCTTTTCTGCCAAGGTGGACACACAGCTCTTGGGTTGGTAAACAAAAGGTATTTTGGTGTGCTTTCAGGTTTTTAATATTTTTTCCAACCACTGAAGGCAGGCTTTACAAAGGCGGGTAGTGCTTTCCTGTGTAATGGTAGTCTTAAGGCACTCCTCATCAGGTAAGGGAGAGCAAGGGTTCTGAATTCCCATGGATACATTAATTGGGAAGCAGGGGCTGGACAATGGTGTAGTAGAGAAACACATGTGCCCAAGATCCTGATGGGATGGAGAATTGGAGGAAAAAGGATTTCAGTGTGACCAAGCCCCATTGCATGGGTTTTCTCTCTCCCTCTCTCCCCACTCACCCCTGCTTCGCATATGAACATGCTTTCTGGCATTAAAAAATAAATAAATAACAAATAAAACCAGTAACTCCAGACAGCTGAATCTCTGAAGTCTCAGGTAGTATTTCTTTGATTTAAATTAAATTTACTTTTAGAATAGCTGTACATTTACAGAAAACTTAGTAAAATTATACATCAAGTTTCCTTCTACCTCACCATTCAGTGTCCCCTGTTGTTAACTTCTTATGTTACTTCCTACAGGGTATTCTTAATATAACAGCTTCTCCTTTGTTTGGGAACATGGACACTTTTTATTCATAGATTTGATAACTCAAAGGTTCTACTGACATGAAAATAAATGGCAGAATTAAGGATTCCTTCATTTATTCAGTAACCAGAAAATAAAACTAATAACTGACCAAGTAATAAAAATAATTTTGTTAAAATGACTGACATTGTAACTGATACATATAAATTTAATTTGCTCAAGAAATACTGTTGAAAAAATGAACAAGTGAATGCAGATGCCCTGTCTCTATGTTTTATTGAGAACCTCAAGTTTTTACAGCTTTTAAAAAAGTCAAATTATTCCATATGTAACCTGTTTTCAATTACTCAGGTTGTAATTCTTGCTATTAATTGGTTTAAGGCATAATGCCCATCCTCCCTTTTTAAAGGTTTTTGTAGTAGAGCATCTGTGCTCGCAAGAGAGAGAGAGAGAATGAAAGTCAGAAATCACACTCTCCCCCACCCCCCAGGGGTGATGGCCACACTACACTCCCTTGTCCTTCATTCTCCTCTTGGAACCTTGGACACAGGCACCCCTGAGGTGATTTTCAATTCACTGGGTCTGGGGCTTGAACTGGAATTGGCCTTATGGGAGTCCAGCACCTTAACCACCACACCACCTGCTGGCCCCATAATTATTTTAAAAATGTTTTTGTCTGGACCAGCAGGTGGTGTGGTGGTTGAGATGCTGGACACTCCCACATGGCTGACCATGGTTCGAGTCCTGGATCTGGCTGCTTTTTTTCTCTTTCTCTCTCTCTGTCTGTCTCTCTCTCTCTCTCTCTGCATGTATGTATGTGTCTCTCTTGTCAAATTAAAATAAATGAATAAATAAAATTTAAAAAAAATTCTTGTCATAGGATCTGTGTGCTCACCAGAGAGGGGAGGGAGGAGAGAGGGAAAGTGAGAAGTCACTGCCCAGGGGGAATGGCCACAGCAGAGTCCCTTGTCATTTTCCTTGCAGGATTCTAGGCACACAGGCACACTTGCCCATCATGACGTTCAAGCCACTGGATCGGGGACTCTGACCACAGTTGGCAGTGTGGGAGTCCAGAGCCTTAACCATGTCACTTGCTGGCCCCATGCTTTATTTATTTATTTTTTTTAAGAATTATTTTATTAAACTTTATTTAATTTTAATTTGACTAGATAGGGACAGAGAGAGAGACAGACAGAGAGAGATGGAAAGTGAGAAAGCAAGCCACCAGGTCCAGGACTTGAACAGTGGTTGGCCATGTGGGAGTCTAGCACCCTTGACCACCATGCCACGCGCCAGCCCCCATAATTTATTCTTAATATCATAAAATCTTGGTGTTTTCTCTGTCCACTTATTTTAAACAACCAGTAATCAACAATGAATGCCTATTATTCATCCTGTTTTCTACATCGTAGTGAATACGAAAATAGATTTGGGAATCATTGTTTTTTTTCCTACATCTGTTTTCTTTAAGACTATAGATTATTCCTCAACATGTAATGTTGAACAATCCTATATTTGAAAAAAGTTTACTTGGAAATTAATATAAGCATTAATTTTTATATGGAAAGAAAGTCATCTTTGGTAGTGCCCAAATATACTTCTTTGAAGTCTTTAATCTGAGTAAATAGAAGAAACTGGCATGTTTTTATCAAGAAAAACACTGTTTTTAAGGTAGACTATTCAGCAATTAATCTTTTTATGTTTTCAGAACTCAGCTGTGGAAATGGTTTTGTCAAAACAACGTTCTCTTGATGTTCAAGAAAGCATGAAAAACACTAAGGATGAGCAGAAAGTCAATGAGCTACAAAATCAACCTTTAGAATTAGATATTATGTTAAGAAATGAACAATTGAAAGAGATGGAGGTATGGAAACATGAAAAACACTGACAGCATGATTGCATCATTTATCCACTGCTATACAATATGTTTTAATTACCAGAAACTTGCTTGCACGGAGTGAAAAGTCTTATTTAACCTTTGCCTGATGATCAGTTTGGTAACTATATAATTATGTACTAATCAGTAAGTTGTATAAATCTTTCCATTTAAAAAGTGGGAGAGTTCAATTAAAATTAGTCGTCTTTCTCTTTCACAAAGTTCCTGAAAACTTATTCAGTAACAAAATGTGGAGATTAGGACTTGTCATCATTCCTTTTCTTAGTCCTGTGTATTCTTCTGATTCTGATCAATTTCTTTTATTTTTCCTAACGCTCGACATTCTGGAGTCCTCCTCCTTTGTGTTTACAGCTGTGTTTACGTAGCTGTGTTTCTGTATAATGCACTTACAGCTTTTGTAAAGTAACCTAAAAAACTAATACTTGGCCACATTTTTAAAAGTGAAACTATAAATGATCCCTATAATTCTAGCTATGTTTACATAACAGTGAACATGTATTTCAAATAGGAAAGAGAGGTACTGTATGTAAATAATAAAAATAAGATTAATCTTCCTTCTGACATTGCAAAACCTTTAAGACAGCTGGTGATCTAATTGATATGAAACGCTGGGCCAATGGCGAGTCTTAGCCTTGCTTTTAACAGGAATTGCTTCTCAGCTTTTTGGCTAAAATAAAGTGTAGATTTTTAACATGATTCTAGTCAGGAAAAAAAAAAAAACTTTTAAAAGTCAGGACTTCAGTTTCTCGGTGTGCAGATGAAATGTTTAGAGGGTCATCTTGGAATAGAATGTGAAGGAGGAGGAAAGAGAAGAATGAATGAATTAATGAGTAAATGAGTGGATTTTTGTTTACCAATTTGCCTGACTTGATTACAGGATTTATATACCCAGTTGAATGCAAAGAAAACATCCATTGAACCACTGGAACAAAGTGAATGTCTTAACACAACAGAAACAAGTCCCTTGGTTCTCCACAATACAAGATACTCAGAGCACCAACTGGATAGTCTGCTTCAGGCACTTACTACTTTGAAGAAAAATAAAGAAAGTCAGTACCACCGTCTTGAAGATTTTCAGGAATCCCTCTCTGCAGCTGAATACTCGATGAAAGCCTTGTTGACTGAAAAGGAAAGTCTGAAAGTGTAAGTATAAGAATTTAGGACTTGCATTCTTTTGTTTAAGCATCACCTCTACTGCCTTGGACAGGTCCAGGATTTAGGAGTTTATACTAAAAAAGGATACTACGATTTAAAAAAACTACGGTATGGAGGGGCTGGCAGGTGTCATGGTGGTTAAAGGCACTGGATTCCCACATGGCTGATCACGGTTTGAGTTCTGGACCTGGCATTTTGTTTTCTCCCTTTCCCTTTCTCTCTGTCTCTCTTGGGTCAAATTAAAATAATAATAATGACAACAACAAATGAAAATAAATAAATAATAAATTTTAAAAAAACCTGTAGTATGGAAATTAATTCCATATAGAAGTTGTCTTAGTTTGTTTGAGCTGTTATAACAAGAACACTGTAGACTGGGTGGCTTATAAACAGCATAGATTTATTATAGTTCTGGAGGCTAGGAAATCCAGGATCAAGCCTCAGCAAATCTGTTATCCAGTCAGGGCTCTCTCTCTGATTTATAGATGGCAACTTCTGTCTGTGCTCTCACATGGAATAAGGGGAAGTACAGCTCTCTGAGGTCTCTTTTATAAGGCACTGATTCCATTCAGAGGGGCTCCATTCTCATGATGTGATCACATCCCCAAATCCTGACCCCTCATACCTTTATATTACTGATTTGGTTTCAAAATGTGAATTTTAGAGGCCACATACATTCAGACCGTAGCAGAAGCCATTTAAGGAAACTGTTGGTTTCAGGCAAAATTTTCACGGTACTGGGTATTTTACAAACCCATTTTTTAAACAATATTTTTGTCACGAATGTGTTTGAAACTGGCAGTAGGGGAGAAACACGTTCACAGTTGCTTAGTATTGGCATAGCTGGTTTAAATAGATTGGTACCTATTGAGTATATATGTATTTTGATGGTTAAAAATATATGTGCACCCGTTGGCTTAGAAAATGATAGCAACTGGCGGTAGAGATTTCTATATGTAAATATTTTCTCATTATCAGAAAGTTTTTTTTTTTCTTGCTATAGGGCACGTGCGCTCTCCAGACAGACAGAGACAGAGAGAGAGAAAGCGAGAAATCATCCCCCAGGGGTGATTTGATTTGATTGCCACGCCGCAATCCCTTCTCCTCCATTCCCCTCTCGGGATCTTGGGCACGCACGCACATGCGCCCAGCGTGAGTTTTAAGCCACTGGGTCTGGGACGCGAACCGTGGTCGACTACATGGGAGTCTAGCAACATAGCCATTACGCTAACTGCTGGTCCCAGAAAGGTTTATGTTCTAATTAAATGTGGTTTACTTTCAGTAACATATCTTGAGGAAGCAATTTTATGTTCAAAAGATTTGCTTGATGATTGTAACTCAGTCAATATCTGTATCAGTATTGTTGGGAAAAGTGTAATGAGAGGGTTGAATATCATGGTAAATCTCTCAGTGCCAGGCCGATTTTGTATAAGTACTTGTTAGTTTATGAAAGTATATTTACATACATTACTCCCTTCCCTTGTCACTCTTTTCCTGTAGTTCTTTATTTTTATCATCCTCATTTTATGGGTGAGTTTTCTACATTGCCACACAACGACTGAAAGACACAGTAAACAAAATTCTGATTTTGAAGGATGTAATAATTTTATAGACAACCCAATCATGTCCATGAATTCAGAGCAGAGTTAATCTCTTTCACGACATCTAACCGTTGATGAATAATAAATATTAAATATTGATAAGCTCTACTTTCTCTTATTATTTTTTTAGGGGACCACTGGAAAGTACAACCTATCTGGACAAAATTGAAAAATTTCTGGCATCAGTAGAAAAAGAGAAAGTTTCTTTAAGCAAGTTGAAAATCGAATGGGAAACTTTATCAAACCATTTGACGGCCATGGATAAGAAGTTGTTAGAAAGCCAGATTAAGCAACTTGAACTTGGTTGGGAACAGATAGAACAACTGGTTCAAAAGAAGCATTCTCAGCAGATACTGAAATACGATGAATTTACATCCCTCATGAGTAAGATCCAAGACATTGACATTTCTCTCCAGCAACTGCAGACGTGTCTACAATCAAGTCTGAACTCTCCAGAAGAACAGGAGGGGAGCCAAAGCTTGATTGCCTTGACTACTGAACTCCAGGTTGTCAGGAACAGATTTTTTGTTTTAAAGGGGCAAGCTGAACTTCAGATGAAGAGGATTTGGGGAGAAAAAGAGAAGAAGATTTTGGAAGATGCAATAAATACTTTACAGAAACAGTTGGAAGCATTAGAGCCCTTAAACCTACAGGCAGAAAATGAGATTAAGAAGTGTAATGTAAGGAATGAGATAAAAGAGGCTATCTTATGGGTCAAGAATCTAGCAGAGGAACTCACTGCCCCCATTTCCCTTCTCCCAGATGACATTCTTTCACAGATCAGAAAATGCAAGGTGACGCATGATGGCATCCTGGAGAAGCAGCAGGCCCTGGACTCACTGGTTAAAGAGATCAAAGGTAACATTCCTAACCTGACAGCATACGAGAGCCATGATTTAAATGACATCCTGGAGGACTTACAGAATCAATACCAAATACTAGTGTTAAAATCAACTCAAAGATCACAGCAATTAGAATTTAAATTAGAAGAAAGAAGTAAACTTTTTGCAGTAATAGCGAAGGTTCAACTTACACTTCAAGGAAATGAAACACTGCTAATTCCGAAAATGGACACCACCTCCACAGAGGCTGCACTAGAACATCACCATGCTGTTTTAAAGACATCTCAGAACAAATTGCAGGAAATCGAGAGTGTCGTCTCCACACATCTTCAGGAACTAACAGACATTGGTAAGGATCTGAATGTGTTTGAAAGACTCTTTCTGAACGACCAATTGGAGAGTCTTAAGACCAGAGCCAACAGAACACGAAGATTCATTCAGAATAAATGTAGCGAAGTAGAACATAAGGTAAATTTTTGCAGAGAATTCCGCGAAAAAACTTCTGTGCTTCAGAAGGAAGTTGACAATTTACAGCACAATGAACTCCTCCATAACCAAGAAATAAATCAAGAGGTTAGAGAGGAATTCTGTAATCTTAAAGACAGATTCACTGGTATTCAATCTAGCATCTTACAAATTTTGAAACTGAAAGAAGTGTTTGACTGTATAGGACTAAACTGGGATTATTCACATCTTGATCAGTTATACACGCAAGTATTTGAAAAAGAAAAGGACTTGGAAGAAAAAATTAAGCAGTTGGACACATTCATGACAGAATATAGCAAATATCAGGCATCACTAAGTAAAATGAGGGCCAGAGATTTAGAGATGAAGAAGAGGGCTGAAGCAGTCCTAAACGCTCCCGATGCTTCACCAGAAAGCAGAATACTCGAGGCTCAACTTTTGAATCAGAGGATCGAAAAAGCCAGGCGCTTCTACGATGAGATAATAAAAACATTAAGTGAAAATAAAGCCTTTGATGACTCCTTCAAAGAGAAAGAAATGCTGCAAATAAAGCTGAACATGAAAGAATGTGATAAATTACACCAGGCTTTCCAAACCATGATACTGGAATTCCAGCCTAAAGAAATGGTCGAAAATTTTCATGACAAACTAGAAAATGTTTTACATTCTTTAAATGAGATAAAATCTGAGTTACAGCAGCCTTTTCTTATAGATTTGGAAATTAAACACGTTCAAATGGAAAAGGACAAGTGTGAAATGTTTCAAGAACAAATTCAGGCAGAAATGTACAATATTAAGACTGTAACTGCTATTAAGAGAAAAAGAGAAGAAAACGCCCCTGAAACTGGTGATGCAGAAACTAAGTTACGTGACATTGAAGACCTTCAAATGCAGCTTAGCACAAGCATCGATTTGCGCATCGTAAGTTTTTCTTTTTCTTAATTAACAGTGCATCTATTTTTACTTGATTTTATGTTTTACTCTAGTCAACACCTGGATTTCTAAGAAAGTTCAGGTTCTACAGGAAAATTTTCTTTAGGAGGATAGCATTTTTTAAAAATGTCAGGCTGACCCCTTGCCTAGTGGTTAGGACAGCTGGATCCCACACAGGTGACTGCATGGTTTGAGACGTGGACCTGGTGACTTTAGAAACATCCTGGGCCAGCACATGCACCCTTAAGCAAATCAGCCAAAAATGACAACAAGACAGTTTATAATCCTGATTCTTTTATGCCTAAACACAGTGCCTTGGAGTTTGAAAAAGACAAATCTAACACCTTTATTGCTGTTTTTCTCATAGCCCCTCTCAACCTCAGGATAATTTTTTTTTTTTCTTTAGTGATAGTAGGAGATAATGGAAGAAATAGTGTGGAAAGAAGAACACCAAGTAACAGATGTTTACTCAGAACCTAGGCTGTGCTAGGCACTGTGCTAGACACTTTGTTCTCATCTTTACCTCAACTCTGTGAAGTGGGTGCTAAAATTAGCCCTGTTTGAAAATTAAGTTGAAACTCAAAGATTTTTCTGTCTTGTAATAGTAACTGAATCAGGATTCAAACTGAAATTTGTCTGATTCAAGACCTAGGATCATCCAATTAAGGTTCATGGGCCAAATCTTGCCCACTGGGCCTGATTGTATACATTTTTTGTTTTTTGTTTCTAATGTCTTTCATGGGCGATAAACAGAGAAAGAGAGAATGATAGAGAAAGGGGCTTTCCCAGCAGGGCCCTCACTTTATAATCCAGCCCCAGTCTTAGCTGGCCCAGACTGTGGTCATCGTGCTCAGGAAGTCCCACGTTGAAAACCCAGGACCTTCCCTAAGTGGGCCGAGGTGGTGGTGCTGCTGTGTGGCTGCCTGGCCCTCTAAGTACAGCTTCAGTGGCCACAGCCATGCTTGTTCGTCTGTGTATTGGCGGTAGCCACTTTCTGCTACCACAGCACAGTTGAGCAGTTGTGATCATTTGCTAAACTCGAGAGTGACTCCAGTGTGTTCCCTTCCTTCCTTTCTGATGGGAGAGTAGAGGGCTCTCTTAGTCTCCATGGTATTCGCTGTGTTTAATAATGCCTTATACAGTGTTTTCAGACTTGTCTCATTAAATTTAGAGAACAAGGACATTAACTCCTTTTTTTCTAATTCAGAGTTGTTATTAGATAATATATTTAGGACATTTTGATAAGTACAAATATTGTAGAAATGTAAAGCAGGGACCAGACCATCAGATGGTGTGGTGGTTAAAGTGCTGGACTCCCACGTGGGTGACTGTGGTTTGAATCCTGGACCTGGCGGCTTGAAAATCATACTGGCTGTGTCTATGTGTGTGCCTACCCAAAATCCTGAGAGGAGAATGGAGGAGAAGGGATTGTGGTGTGGCCATCCCCTCCCACCCCTCGATTTCTCATTTTTCCCTCTGTCTCTCTCTTTCCATAGAGCATGTACACCCTATGGCAAAAGCCTTAAAAGAAAAAAAAAAAAAAAGAAATGTGAAGTAGTATTATGAACCCTAATATAAGGAGTTTTCAAAAAGTTCATGGACCATGTGTATTATGGGAGGAAAAAAAAAACTGTGCTATGCATTTTTTTTCTTTTGGCACCACAGTTAACTCATACTTTAGTTCTGTTTTTCCATGAGCTTTTTGAAGTACCTTCATTGTGTTCTTTAAATGGGTTTGTAACAAATGCTGAATAATTCGCATACTTCTTTATTTGGTTCTGATATAGTTTTAAGAAATAATGTACATAAATCCCCAGAAAAATAGTATTAGAATGGAACTGGAAGAAGCCTTTTAAGGTAATTTATTTCAATGATTTATTTTTATTTCAATTAGAAGACAGCATGGAAACATTCGTTGATGTGCTAAAATTGAAGTTAGTGGTAGAGCCATTAATTAATAAACATAATAGGTGTGGAGTTGTTTGCTTTTTTAATTTGTTCATGAATATTAAGATTGTATACATTGGGCCAGCAAATGACATGGAGGTTAAGGCAGCTAGATCCCCTGTGGCCGACTGCATGGTTTGATGGCTTGAAGAATCACACCAGGCACATGTGCTCTGGGCTCAAAATCCTGAGAGGAGAATGGAGAAGAAGGGATCATTCTCCCCTCCACCCCCAATGGGGTGATTTATTACTTTCTCTGTTTCCAGTGAACACATATGCCCTAAAGCAAACTGAAAGGAAAGAAAAAAAGATTATATACATTAAACATACCCAATTGTTTTATTTAATTCATAGTCTATTACAAGAGTGCCAGAGTAGGAATATACATCCATAAATGTGATTCATATGATATTATTTTGAGTTTAGATTTAAAAGAAAATTAGAAACAGTTTTTCTTTATGCAAATAAAAAGTTATTCATTTTTATTTTTTAAACATTTAAAAGAATTATTTAATATTTTAATTATTATTTATTTTTTAATTTTACCAGAGAGAGACAGAGTGAGAAAGGGAAGGTAAGAAAGCAAGCTGCCAGGTCTGGACTTGCACTGCAGTCGGCCATGTGGGATTCCAGCTCCTAAACCACCACGCCACCTGCCAGTCTCTGGTTATTCATTTTTAAATACTAGTGTAAAATTGCCAAAAAGTACGAGAATGCTAAGACTTGGATGTATTGTGCATGCACTGTCACAATTCAAGAATGACAGAAATCCGAGAAGTTCAACAGGTTTGTCACAGCGTTTCATCTCCTATTTACCAGAATGTTCTGGATGATGCTTATGAAAATCTAACACACTATAAGGAAGCAGTCGCCAGGGCGGTGGAGACCATCACTTCCCTTGAAGCCATCATCGCATCCCATAGTGTAGACCTTGATAATCCGGAAGAATCACTAGAGATGACTCATGGGAAACAAGAGGAATTGGAATCTACAATAACACATATCCAGGACCTCACCGAGAAATTGGGAGCTGTGTCCAGCCCCAAAGCCAAACAGCAACTTCAGTGTACTTTACGGGACCTCGTTTCTAAGAACTCAGCCTTGAAGGAGGCGGCCACAGCAGAGAGAGCCGAGGTGGAAAGGTAGGTCCTCTTTCTGAAGGTAATGCCTTAAGAACATAAAAATAGAGTTTTTTCTTTATGATTAACATGTATCTGTAGAGATCATTTGGGAAATGGGGAAAATCACTGTCTAAAAAAAATCATGGTGAATATTTCATTGTATTTCTTCTTTTTTTCCTTATTCAATACTGGGTCCATACAACAGAATGTTTATAAGAATATATGGGGTGGTCAGAAAAGTCATGACGTATTTTTTCTGTTCTTCTATGTAAAAATGCATCATGACTTTTCTGATGACCCAATACATAGTTTAAGGCATAATGTTACAATAAGCTTTTCTGTACCTAAATGTTCAAAGATAAACATCATTCATGTGACTTCTCTTATGTTTTCCTTCCCTTTCCTCTCAGAAAAACCATTATCCTAAATTCTGTATTTACCATTTCTTAGCTCTGTATTGTCTTTTCACTGTGTGTTTGTGTGTGCCATTTTCACAACGTTGGACTAATACCCAGGATGTGTGTGTTTGTGTCATGGCAGTTTTGACTACTATGACCCTATTATGACCCCAGGGTTTATTCATGTTCTTGTCTGTAGTAAAATTCACTTCCCAAGCTATTGGTAGATGTTTGGATTATTTCTACTTTTTGTATTTATAAACTGTGCTACAAAGAATATTTTTAAACGCAAGCTTCTATTGGATATATATCTTGGAGTGTTATTGCCTAGGTCTAATGGTATATACATCTTAAATTTTAGTACCAAACAATTTTCTAAATTTCCTTTAAACCACCAGCATGTAAGTATTCTAGTTTTCCCATATTCTTGCCAACATTTGATATTGTGAGACTTAATTTTTACCAGTCTGAAGAGTAAGAAGTGTTACCTGCTTTGATTTGGATTTCTATTACTGCTAAAGAGTTCAATTTTTTTTTAATGTTTATTGATCATTTTTATTTTTTCTGTCAAATGTCTACTCAAGCCTTGGCCCAATTTTATTAGATTGCCTCTCTTTTTCTTTAAACTTTGCTATAGGGTGTGTGCATTCACTGGAGAGAGTGAGAGGGAGGAGGAAAGTCAGAAATCACCTCCTGGGAAGGGGAGGATGGCCACACTGCAACCCCTTCTTCTCCATTCTCCTCTTGGGATTTTGGGCATGCTCCCACACGTGCCTGCCATGGTTTTCAAGCCACTGGGTCCAGGACTCAAACCATAGAGTTGGCCATGTGGAATCCAGCCTCCCCGTCACCTCCTGGCCCATCCCCTCTTTTTCTTACTGATGTGCAGGAGTTTATTCTTTATTTTTAGAGGCCTACTCTTTATTCTGTTACAGTTATGTATATTAGAAATGTCTTTGCAGAGAGGGTGGTCTGTGAGACACCCATACTGGAGCGGCTCCAAGTTTATCATCTGTCCCCCATTTTCTAGGTAGAGACAGAAAGCTGAAAGTCAGGTGCCAGCCACTGGAATGATAGTTAAGGCTGCTGAATCTCACATGATTGACTATGGTTCAAGCCATGGAACTGGCGGCTTGAAAAACGTGACACATATGCCCAGAATCTGAAAGGAGGAATCTGGGAGAAGGGATTGCTGGGTGGCCATCCCCCAGGGGAGTACTTTTTCGCTCTCTCTCTCTGACAAACGCATGTACTCTTTAGCAAATTTATAAAAAAAGAGAAAGAAAAACTGGAAGTAAAGAAATGCCCTCAAAACAGAAAGTTGGTCCTAAAGCTTTACTTATGTCTGTATATTTTCCATTTTAGAGGTTGAATCTTCAATTTCTTGCTAGTTTATTGGCATGTGAGTTTTTTCTTAATATAGAGTGATCCAGATTTTAATTCTTCTCAGTGCAGGATTTAGGCTCTATTCTTAATAATAGTGTTTCTAAATATATCACAATATTCTTCTGCACATTTGCATATAAAACCATATTGCAGATCTTCTGGGGGATCAGTAGTCAATAAAAACTTGCAATAAGTTTCAGTGAATCACCAAAAAAAATTTTATCGTTAAAAAAGTTTGGAGAATCAGTTCTGGGGAAGTTCAGAATCTATTGTGTTAAATAAAAGTAAACATCATTTTTAATTTTTTTCTAACCGGACCTCATTAGGTGTCTGGAGAATTACAAATGCTATAGAAAAATTAGAGAGAAGATTTGCACTGACCTCAGCAAAATGGAGACGGCTCTCAGGCAGTCGCTGTCTCCGTTGCCAGTGTCTTATAAAGAAGCTTTGGAGCGCTTGGAACAGAGCAAGGTAACGGTATTTGCAGTCCTTCAGTAAGCCTGTGTGCAAAGCCTCAGCTCAACAAGCAGGTGGAGGCAGCTGAGACTGTGGCTCTGTCAGGACCCACAGAAATCTCCATGCTGTGTTGTGTACCCATGCCAGTTCCTCACACTTAAAACCAAGGGGGGCGGGAGGTGTGAAGTGGAGGTCCTAAGGGGCAGAATTAATTGAGATCACAAGACAGTCACCTTGCAGTCGCATCTGGTCTTTGTTGACCTCCTTTCCTCCGTCACCTTGTTTTGAGAGACACTGCTGGACCAGCAATAGAACTTTGTCCACTGAGCGCTTATTGCAACTCTCGTAAGCCCTGAATTCTGGCTGCTTTTTAGATTCCTTTACTAAGCAATTTTAGTTTTTGCTTATTTTCATCTGCTGTTAGAATCTCTTGGGTCACTGGAAAAATCATGATGCATTTTTACATGGAAGAAATACATCATGACTTTTCTGATGACCCCAAATGTGATACTGTTAGTAGGAATTGTGGATGTGTTTAAGATACACCAAAAACAAAAGCAATAAAATCCAAAAAATATTGTGATGGCTGTTGCTGTAGTATCATGCAAATGAACTGTCAAGCAAAATATGAGACTTCAATTAAAATACTGAAATGTACTTCTAGAATAGTTACCTTCAAAAATTCATTCTGCTTGGAAGAAGTTGGTTTATGGGTCGTCGTTTTTGCCTATAGCCCCAAACTTATACAGAATACAATACTACATAGATGGTTCTCTGGCCTAAATTATCTTCCAGAAGGAAAAGAAATGAGTCATGTTATACTTACGAAACGCATTAAATCCCTCCTATTCTTTTAATTTTCTTTCTTAAGGCCACGGTGTCAAATCTTTTATCAACCAGAGAAGAGTTCGGGAAGCTACGACAAGTCCTCAGGTGCTTGCAGTCCAGGTGCACAGCGAATGATGGCCTGTGTGTGCTCAGAACCGGCTCAGCTCTGTGGGAGAGATGGCTGCATTTGCAGGAAGCTGCCAAGGAGTGGGAGATGTGGTGTGAAGAACTAAAGCAGGAGTGGAAATTTGTCAGCGAAGAGGTGAGTGCTTCATTTTCAACAAACCATAGTTTCCCAACCAATGTATCTTCCGTTGTTTTATTCCATGACCACCAACAAAATCAAGATTTCAGGTATTCCCATCACCTCAAAAATTTCCTTGTGCCCCTTGTGGTCAACCCCTTCCATCACCTCCAGCCCCTGGCAACTGTCCATCTGCTTTTTTCCTGTCTTTTTTCTTTTTCTTTTTCAATTTCAGAATGTCATATAAATAGACTCTTAACAGTGTTTGGCCTTTTGAGTTTGACTTCTCTTCACTAAGCCTAATGTGCTTGAGTTTTTTTTTTTTTTTTTTTTTTTTTTTTAAGTTTATTTACTCCTTCCATGGGGAAAAAAGACAGAAACAGACAGAGCTAGATAAAGAGACAGACAGCAGCCCCACCAAGATCTCGAAGCCATGGTCTACCTCCAGCCATCAGCCAGCCTCATACCATGTGCACACACACACACACACACACACACACCCGTTGTACTCAAGGAGGTCTCTAGATTTGAACCATTAACCTACTCATGTGGGATTGCCTCAACCAACATTGCATTTTACCACTGTGCCAACATTTGGCCCTGAAAGTCATTCTTGCTGCTCTCCTCTTAGTAGTTCATTTCTTTTTATTCCTGAGTAGTATTCTGTTGGGTTAATATACTGTAGTTTGTTATTCAACTCACACATTGAAGAATTGCCTGACTTGAGTAGAATTATTGTCCTAATCAAAACTGTTTTCAGAGTCAGTCCTGTAGCCTGGTGGTTAAAGGAAGCCAGATCCTACTTAGCTGACTACACTTCAAATCCTGGCTCTGCTGGCTTGAAAGACATGGCAGGCACACAGATGCGAATGCTTACAATTCCACGAGGATGGGGAATGGATTGAGTGTGACCACACCCCGTTGTGGGGTGCTTTCTTCCTCTCCTTCCTTCTCCCTCTGGTGGGCACATGCACCTTCTGACAACTAAAAAAACAAAACAAAACTCTTTTCCCTCTTGTGTATCCCTTCTCCATCGCTTACTAACTTTATGGCGTATAGCAGAACCCAAGACAGGGGCTTGCCAACAGTTGATTTTTATTTTCAATATGAAGCACTGGGAGAACTGAAACAGGAAAATTCTGAGCCTTTAGTTACTGGGTCTCTCTGGGCCTCTTACTGGGTCCTGGTTGCAGTTCCCCATTTATGGTTATCACGAGGCATAGAAGTACCAGGAGATGCTCTAAGAAGAGCACATGGGCCCAGTGTATTTTTCAAGCCACTGGATCTGGGACTTGAACCACACAGTTGTCATGTGAGGGTCCAGCCAGCTTACCCACCATGTCACCTGGCCAGCCCAAGAACCAAGACTTCTCATCTAACTGCACTTAGGTTTGAGGAGATGGGAAGCACAGATTGTATAACGGGGTCTTTTGGAGAGGAGCCAGTATGTACATACACCCGTGTATTGTAGAATTTGGAACCCACCTGGATCATATGGCCCAAACGGCAGGGTCACTTTTACCATAGTCCCACCTGGCTACAGTGGGACTGCCTCATTTTCTCCAGGTCCCCCTCAGGAAGGATAGCATTCTGAGAACTTGATCTGAGCAGTTCCTAAGTGTAGCATACACTGGCCCCAAACAGCCCACATGGTGCCATGTCTCTTTCTTAGCAGTAGAGTTACAAAACTGAACAGCTGGACACTCACCTTAGAGAAACTCTGTCATGCACTGGACTGTTGGACCCTGGAGACTTCCCGGCTGCTGGGGCTCCTGAATCATAGCTTTATGTCTCATCCTCTGCCATGTCCTTGCTTACCATACCAAGTAGCATATCTCAAAATCTGATGTAATGTAGCATAAGACAAGTGTCAGCTACATTTATGATAGCCAAGATCATAAAGACTATTCGTTTTTGACATAAATATAGTTAGAGTGTATTTATGGTAGCCAAGAATGCAGGCTATGTGACTTAGCACAGAGCAGGTAATTAACATTCCATTAGCAAAGAATGAGATAAATGAGAGGTGCAGATGAGGGAAACACTCAAATTTCAACATAAGGAAGGGGGGGTAGGGGGTGGGGGGGTACATTCAAACCATAGCACAGGTCTACATGAACAAGAGCTGGAAACAGGATTTTGATCATAGAAGACTGTTATTTCCAGTGGCAAGAGAACAACTATTACTCTCAAGTAGAATGCAGTATTAGGAAGCCTTTGAAGAGAAGGTCTACAAAAATTATGGCGGCCAGGGTTTGGTTCAGGTTCTGAAATGGTTAAGGATATGTTTTATCTCTCTTTCGTTTTTGTTTATTGTATTAGCTTGAACGAGAAGCAATTATTTTAGATAATCTTCCAGAAGAATTGCCTGAAATTTCCAAAACCAAAGAGGCAGCCACCACAAAGGAGCTTTCGGAGCTGCTAGACTGTTTATGCCAATGTGAAGAGAATGTGGAGAAACAGCAATTGTTACTAACCCTGCTGCTTCAGCGCATAAAAAGTATCCAGAATGTTCCTGAAGGCTTAGGTGCCCTGGAGGCTGTTCCGGCATTTCAAGAGATTATATCTATGCAAGAACGATGCAACAAGTAAGATTTCTGAAAAACTATTAAGGAAATGTACTTGGCAGCTCAGGCTCAAAATTTAGAATACATCAAGTTTAGGAAACATAAGATACTGGGTTTTCGGGAAAGTCATAATGCATTTTTTTGCATAGAAAAATACATCATGATTTATCCAACAACCTAATCCTGTAGCATAATACCAAATGATAAGACAAGTGAGTTAACACTGAGGAGTATAAAAGAGATGGGAAGGATTAATAACTATAATTAAAACCAGTACATGCATTTCATCCCAGTATTACTGAGAGTGAATATCCTTCTGATTCCTTTAATTTTTTTCTTTAATGTTTGCTGTTTTCAAACTTTATATTCATTAAAAGAAATTTAGAAAATATGGAAAATTACAAAGATTAGTATAAAGCTATCTTTAATCTCACGACTCAGCAACAACCACTGCTAAACAATTTTTCTTGTCTTTTTTACGATATATTTTAAAATAAATTGAAATCCTAATACTTACATTGTTTCATATTCTGATGAAACATGTTCTACATATCATGCTTATTTTCCTGTGTCATTAAAGGTTCATTTAATACACAACTATTACTACTCCACCATTTGGATATGCCAAAGGGATATCCAAATTTATTTAAAGCCCCAAATTTAAAACTGTAAAATTGTATGTAATTCTTTTGGAGAGATTTTTGCTATAGGGCACGTGCGCTGGCCACAGAGACGAAGAGACAGAAAGTGAGAAATCACTCCCTAGGGGTGATTGGATGGCCGTGCTGCAATCCCTTCTTCTCCATTCTCCTCTCGGGATTTTGGGCGTGCACATGCACCAGCATGAGTTTTAAGCTGCTGGGCCTGGAACTCAAACGTGGGTGTTCAGCGACGTAACCATTATGCCATCCGCTGGTCCTTTTATGTAACTTCTTTACTTTTATAAAAATGCTGCGATGAATATTTTTATACCAGAATCTCTATCTGCATCTGTGATTAATTAATTGAGAAAGATGCCAAACGACAGAATTGTTGGGTCAAAGGATACAGTAATTTTATAACCAGTGTATACTTAACTCATAAGGGAGGTTTTTACAAATGGAAGTACTTTTCTGATATGATGGTACATCCACTGCAAATGGGGTTGCCTGTGCCCTAGAGCTCGCTCATGACTGCCATCACACCTCTAAGTTATTTTCATTTGAGCTCCAGGATTCCATAGAGAATGAGAGGGTAGAGATGGCAATTCGAAAGTCAAGTATGAAAAGAGTATATTTGGGGATGAACGTTTTGGAGAAGGTTTTTGGTGTGTTTTTACTTTTTTTTCCATGGAGTGCATGTACTCGCCAGAGAGAGATAGTGAGAGGGAAAATGAGAAATCATACCCCCCCCCCCGAAGGGGGGCATGGCTATACCACAATCCCTTCTCCTCCATTCTCCTCTTGGAATTTTGAGTACACGTGTGCCTCGTGTGATTTTTTTTTTTTTTGGGGGGGGAAGAGGTTTTCACTATAGGGCATGTACGCTCACCAGACAAACAGAGAGAGACAGAGAGTAGAAAGCAAAAAATCACCCCCCAGGGGGGATGGCCACGCCACAATCCCTTCTCCTCCATTATCCTCTCAGGATCTTGGGCATGCACGCACATGCACCTGGCGTGAGTTTAAGCCACTGGGTCCGGGACTTGAACCGCAGTTGGCTACATGGGAGTTCATTGACATAGCCCTTACACTAACTGCTGACCCCCCTCATGTGATTTTTTTTTTTTTTTTTTTAGCCACCAGATATGGGACTTGAACTGTGGTCAGTTATAGGAAAGTCTGGTGCCTTGACCAACACTCTACCTGCAGGCTGTTTGGAGAATTTTTCAATTGTGACAGAAGTTTATATATGTTTGCATATGTAATATGTAAATTATTGAAAACTGCGGTTTTCAGAAAAATCATCTTTTGTGAGCTATTCAAGAATTTTGTTAATTGTTGAAATAAAACTATTTCACAGGAAGACAGTTACATCTTGATGCTTTCTTGTAGGCTTTTACAGAAAACTCAAACAAATAAGGAATTGGTGCAGACTGAAATGCAAGAAAGACATTCCTTTATAAAAGAAATAACTGCTTCGAAGAATTTATTTCAACAGAGCACAACTTCTTTCCAAAATATGTCATTACAGGACCACCCAGAAAAGACCGGGCAGTTTGAGGTAAGGAAGTGTGACTGTGACTGAGACACAATCTCGTGCCCAAAGTCTCGTGGCAGGGCCGGCCCATCTCATGGTGCAGCGGGTTGAGCCTTGTATGTGGGGAGCCCGAGCCCACATGGCCAACTCTGGTTCAAACCCTAGCCCTGGTAGCTTGAGAAACACGATGAGCACGTGTACCTGTGTACCAAAAATCCTGATGGGTTGGAGAGATGGAGGACAAGGGTTTGTGGCATGACCACACCCCATAGTGGTGAGAGTTTTAGCTGGCTGTTTCTCTTTCTCCGGTGACCACACATACCCTCTGGCAATGGGGTGGGAGAATACCAAGTCTTTGGGTAGGTAGTTTTGGGACTTGAGTTAGGGGAGTGATCCAGGGAAAGGGGAAAGCATGCGCAGAGCCACGAGAGGTGATCCAGGTGGTTGGAGAGCAGAGAGCAGGGTGGAGACCAGCTTGGGAGATGGGCAGCCCTTTTCAACCACCGACAAGTGCATTTGGTGAACAGGGGCCTCAGACCACACTTGTCTAGGTGCTCTGATGGGAGCTGCACACTTGCCGAGGGCCATTTGGGAACTCCTTTCTTCAAAGATACCTGATTCCGGTCCAGTGGTGACAGCCAAAAATGAGATCTCTACGTTTATTCAGAAGTCTCATGCTCTTGTTAATCTGAGCTTTGGGTTATGAATGTTGAAAAAGGAAGCTTCTTGCCAGTCCCATAAACAATCCGCATGGGAAAGCTGTCATTGTGTAGCCCTGAATGAAGACCTGGACTCCTAGATTAGGTCTAGATAAAACAGGATGACACTTGCACCTCAAACCCTCACCTTGTCTGAATGGCACTGGTCTTTCACTTTCCCTCACCAGGTTTGTTCTCTGCTGGGGATTCACAAAAGGAAAACAGTGACACATCCCAGAGTCATTTCACATTGTAATCCTTGGCCACTGCAGTGACTCAATCCATTAACACAAACAATACTGCTGAACTGCTACTGGTAAAATAAAACAACAAAAACGCCACAGTAAAGTCAAGTACTTTTCCACTGGATCTTTGGGAAACTTTCCCAAGCAAATGAGTTTCTCCTTTATAATTACTGCAGGAGAACGTAGATCAGATTTTATTTCTAGGCCACAACCAATAGGCCGTTTGTTCAGGTTTCTTTTATCTCCTAAAACCTACATTCTTTGCCTGGAACTGGAACCCTCCCTTTTGAAAGAAGTTGAGCTGTGTTGGGCTGTCTAATTACGTGAAAGCAGACACTTCTGCTCCAAGCTGAGGGCTTTTAGTGGCCTTGAATCATTGTGATGATAATGCAGAAGAAGTAGAAAGAGCAACAAGTTAATAACAACAACCAAAAAAAAAAAAACCAAAACAACACTTCTTTGAAACTTTTATCTGGACTGCAGCTGAGATATAGTTAAATCCTAGAGGTCCTTTAGAAGCAGGAGATGTTGTAATGTCTCTTCATGACAATGGTCTGACACTATGAAGAGATATCAAGTTTAATTCTTACAAATTAGAAAGCATCAGCTGACTAAAAGGAGTATCTCTCAGGCTTAATCAGCTTGTATCAATAGTGAGGTTTTTGTCATGCAAAACTGGCTTATTTAAATCATAAGGATGTGCTGGAAAGCTCTTTTCCGCTCTTTAGAGTTAAACTTTCCCCCCATCCTGTGAGTACTGAAACTCTCTTGATGTTTTTAGGAGCTTCAGAGCATTCTTAAGAAAGGGAAGCTAACTTTTGAGCACATTATGAAAAAACTGCGAATCAAGTATTCTGAAATGTACACCATAGTCCCTGCAGAGATTGAATCCCAGGTGGAAGAATGCAGAAAAGCTTTAGAAGACTTAGATGAGAAGGTAACAATAACGTTTATACTACTGTTATTATTTATGGAGTTGGATGAATATAAGAAAAAAGTCATTTAATGTCTGTTTTCATTTACCCCCATTTCTGCTATGACTATTTATCGAGTTTGGTTAAGTGAAAGTTTTTATGTATTGAATGGGATAATGCTCTAATGACATGACATAGATAATAAAATTAGATTGCAGCTTTTTAATTCTCAGGATACTGAGTCTTCCCTTGCATTTTAAAATCGAATTATATATGATCTTTGACCTGGCTTTTTCTTTTTCTTCACAGTCACTTAAAAATGATAGGTATGAGTAATACCTTTAAATGTATTCCCTGAAATAGTTTGAAGTTGAAGCCAAGTGCAGTTAAGAACGCCAATTTCACAGCTAAGTAGGAGTGGAACTTAGCGCACTGTTTCTATCTAATGGTGGTAACAGAGTTGTCACAGACGTACCTGGGGAAATCTCTATACCTGAATACCCAGATCTGAAGAAAAATGAAAAACACTTTGTAGTACTGGAGACGTAGGAGCATAGCAAGAGAATTTGTTTCACTTGTACAAAAGGCAGCCCCAATCCAACAGAATAAAATTATAGCTGGTCCAGCATCCACAGAGGATTTTTATATTGTTTTTGAAGCCTAGGATACTTGTAAGCTTGATGTATAAAATAGATCTTAAACGCGCATACACAAATCAGATTTCAAACTTAGTTGCTGGAATTTGTCACTAACTAACATGTCAGATTTCTTAGGAAAATCTAACCTGTGTCAAAAATATGTAGACTGCTAGTGTATATTTAGAACAAATCTCTTTGATTTAACACACAAGGAAACCTGTTAGATATTTTCTCAGGGATCATACACTCTTCATTTTATTTAAGAGAATACTAAATGTTTCAAGAGAGATGCAGTGTTAGTCTCATGAGAACATCATGTGAAAATCCCTAGCAAAGTAAATTAATAACCAAAAGCAACCTTTCAAATTTAAGGTTGAGAATTTTTGCCATGAACTTCTATGTTTGTAAAAAAGCAGCAACTAATTTTAATTGTACAAAGAATCTAAGGGAAGTTCAAGGATCCAGGCAGGAGACAATATGCCGTTGGGTGTGTTTCCCAGGGCTACTTACTTTTCCTCATTCAGGATTTCCGCTATTGTAGCTAAGTCATATGCATTTCTGCCAGGAGAATAACCCACAAAAATATCGGAAAGCTTCCCTTTCTCATAATCTGTAATACTGTCAGCAGTTAAAAAAAAAATAAACGAATACAGGATCAAAATGGGATGATTTTTTTTCTTCAAATTATCTTGACTCTGGTTTGTTTGATCTGTAGAATAAAAGACATGATAGGAAAGTATCAATAGTCTGATGTGACTAGAGCCCTGGACTAGTCTCTGAAGACTTGAGGGTTTCTCAGGACAGGCTAGACCACCACCTCCGTGTGTCTGTAGCAAGTCGTTTTAGCCCGTGTTCGGTTCTGTGTCTGTATACTGTCTGCATAGGAAGGTTTTCATCTCAGTAATTACACAGATGCAGTGGAAACATGAAAGGATTACACAAAAGCTTACAGCGTTATTTGGTTATTTAGTGGCTGTGTGGAAAAAGCTTTATCAACATAGCTTAAACAGGAACCCAAACTAATCAATCAGGGATTTGAAAACTGATACATTCAGCATTCATTGACTGTCATTCCTAGAACAAGTTATTTTCTTAAAATCCTTTAGATAAAATAAATTACAATGTTTAGCTGCTAAACTTCTGATTAAATATGCGGAGAAAATATAACACTAGAAACAGACATCTAGAGGAAAATTAAGCTTTGTATCCTCAGGAAATGCTGCTTTTTGAAGATCGTTTCACCTAAGTGAATACAAGGTAGCTTCATAGAGTTCATGAAAAATGCATATTATGAAAAAACTACACATAGATTTTATTTTTTTTTTTGCACAAACTTATACTGTAATTCTACTTTTCCATGAACTTTTTTTCCTTTAATATTGGCTTGAGAATGAGTTTAATTTTGTTGAAAACAGATCTGTGCGGAGGATTATCTCATAAAATGGAGAGAATGTCTGCAGGAATTCTTTCTTTTTCTTTTTGATCCATAGGAGTATGTTCCAGACAGGTCATGAAGCAGTTTTGTCCAACATGGCATGTATCTGTGGTCCATACTGTGAACTACATTCAACACATTTTTATTTTTTTAGTTTTTAAAAGTAGATTTAAAGGGTCAAGAAACACAGCTGCTATATAGTAGTTTGCTAATTTACCCTTTCATTAACACATTAGCCAGTAAGGTTTGGAATTTTCCTCCAGTTCTTAAAAGATTTTTATAAGTGAAAAAAAAAAAAAATGGAATGCCTACCCCTTTTGTCTTTTGAACCTATAACAGATTGTAGAAAAACCTCTCTAAATGAAATTTTTCTTGTTACAGATTAGCAATGAAGTCTTGAGAAGCTCACCATCATATGCAATGAGTAGAAAGATAGAAGAAAATAACAATGGGCTTCAAAATATTGAAAAAATGTTGCAGCAGAAAAGCAAAAATATTGAGAAAGCTCAAGAAATTCAAAAGGTAACATCTCCTTTAACTCCCTCAGCATTTGATCACTCCTCTTGTTTATCAGTCATCACAAGGTGAACTCTTTGGGTTAATCTGAAACACAGAGAACCTGAACTGGATGCAGGGGCATCCTTACCGAGGGTGTCACCTACAGAGACTTGATGGAGAAAGTTGCATTTTGGAACTGTTAGTTTGGCCAGGGTGGACGTGTGCCCAAACTCCTGAGAGCCCTTGATTGTGAACCAGCATTATTTTTAATAAGTAAGAGAAAGTAAGGATCTTATTTTGGGAAAACTGATATTAAAAATAATTCAATAGAACACAAAAAATAATAGCAGCATTGCTTTAGATTGCCATGATGCAAAAAGGAAACAAAACAAATTCAAATTTTCTTTTGTAAAATGTTTTAGAAAATAAAATCTTAGGTAAAACTATAAATAAACCTAACATTTTACATTTCTTAAAAAAAGTTTTTGCCATAGGGTGCGTGCACTGGCTGGAGAGAGACAGAAAGAAGGAAAATAGGAACTCACCCCCAAGGGGGATGGCCATGTTGAGATCCCTTCTCCTTTTAAGATTTGGACACACATAGACATGGGCCTGGCATTTGTCAAGCTCTCGGGTCTGGTACTCAAACCATGCAGTTGTCCATATGGGATCTGTTGCCTTAACCTCCACACCACCAGCTGGCCCTACCCAAGTCTTTTTTATTTATTTATTTTTAAAGTTTTTAAATAATTATTTATTATTATTTTAAAAAATTTTCTATAGGGCACATCTGCTTACCAGAGAGAGAGAGAGAGCGCGAGAGCGAGCTGCCAGGTCCGGGACTAGAACCATGGTTGGCCATATGGGAGTCCAGCACCTTAACTACCATACTACCTGCTGTCTCCCCCCTAAGTCTTTTAAATACAGTGTTCTACTTCCAAACTCTTGAAAGGGTAGAGCTATTGTGACCTTGTTTGCTGTTGTTCATCTCTGGAAATGTTTTCCTACCGCTCTTTTGTACTGAAATGAATACAGTTACAGTTAAGAGACAGAGAAAAAGTGTTTTTCAGTTTAGATCACAAGTGTTTACTGGGTATAAACTGAGAAGTATGCCTATATATTTTTTTTTTCCTGTGACATTATTTTGATAGTATTTACAAATGCAAATACTATGTGAAAAATAGGAATTACTGCAATAACCCACACCATCTTCATTCAAATGAATTTAATTTTCTTTTCCAGAAAATGTGGGATGAACTGGATCTCTGGCATTCCAAGCTAAATGAGCTGGATTCTGAGGTTCAGGACATTGTTGAACAGGACCCAGGGCAGGCTCAAGAATGGATGGATAACTTGATGATTCCTTTCCAGCAGTATCAGCAAGTATCACAGAGGGCAGAATCCAGAACCTCACAGTTAAATAAGGTGCGGCTATAATGGGATTGCGTGTACCATGTGGCGGTATTGAGGTGGGTTTAAAACGGCAGGCAGTTTCTTTCAAACTGTTGGTTACAGAAGGCTCTCATGGGCACCAGGGGACAGATTCCAGTGCTGGTGCAGGAAAGAAGTCTGGCTGGGCAAGCAGCTCTGGAAATCCAACAGTTAGACCGTGACAGCAGTCTGGCAAGTGCCGGGATTCCCAATGGTGGGTAAAGACAGTAGTGGGCATTTGAGGCAGATGATCTCAGGAGTCCAGAGACAAAGCTAGCAATTAAAAAGGACTGTCTTGGGGGAACCAGCAGTTAGTGTAATGGCTGTCGCTGGACTCCCACGTAGTCGACCGCGGTTCGTGTCCCGGACCCTGTGGCTTAAAACTCACGCTGGGCGCGTGTGCGTGCATGCCCAAGATCCCGAGAGGAGAATGGAGGAGAAAGGATTGTGGCGTGACCATCCCCTCTGGGGGGGGTGACTTCTCGCTTTCTGTCTCTCTGTCTCTGTCTGTCTGGCGAGTGCACGTGCCCTATAGCCAAAACCTCTCCAAAAAAAAAAAAAGACTGTCTTGGGACTAGCAGTTGGTGAAATGGCTATGTCGTTGGACTCCAATGTAGTCGACCGTGGTTTGAGTCCCAGACCTGGTGGCTTAAACTCACGCCGGGCTTGTGTGCATGTGTGCCCAAGATCCTGAGAGGAGAATGGAGGAGAAGTGATTGCGGCGTGACCATCCCCCCGGGAGGGGGATTTTTCACTTTCTGTCTCTGTCTTTCTGGTGAGCGCATGCATCCTATAGCAAAAACCTCTCAAAAAATATTAAGAAAGTTAAATAAAAAGGACTGTCTTTCAGGTACAAGATACCCTTCCTACCCTCATTCAAAATAGGGGCCATGGTAGGGTGTGTAGACTGTGTAACCTAGGAAGGGACAGGCAGAACCCAGTCTGAAATGGGATGTTATGGAGCAAGGTTCTGAATACTAAGCAGAAGTCCAGTTTTTAACCGGAAGTATAACATGGGAACCAGAATACTTACAATACTAAGAACTCTTGCCAAGGCTTGTAGTGTTGGGGAAGAAAAACCGGATTGGTCTTAAACATTGGAAGGATCTTAACTTGGAGCAAGTGAGTGAATACCTTCTGCCAGAGAAAATAAAAAGTGTTACTGCTGACCAGTGCAAACTAGCTTTTCCTGCAGGAATCTTTTAACTCCAGTAAATTGTGTCTGAGTAAGTTTGGTACTACATCTCTCTCACAGGCCACAATTAAAATGGAGGAATGCAGTGACCTTCTGAAGAGCACAGAGGCTTGGATAGAAAATACCAGTCGTTTATTGGCCAATCCTGCTGACTATGACTCCTCAAAGACATTGAGCCACCATGCTAGTACCCTCCAGGTAAGTGTTCTTTGGGTGTTTCCTGTGAGTCACATAATTTGCATATGCATAATGATCAGTGACTTCTCTGGTCATCTGCATCTTTTTAAAATTTTTATTTTTTAAATTATTTTTAAAATTTGCAATAGGGGGTGTGTGCATACTGGTAAGAGACAAAGGGCAAAGTGAGAAAGCGGTCCTTGCGGGACAGCCACACCGCAATCTCTTCTCTTTTCTCCTTTGTGATTTTGGGCATGGGTATATGTATACATGCTTTTCAGGCTGCCAGGTTGGGGACTCAAAGCACTCAGTTAGCCATATGGTATCCAGCCACCTTAACCACCATGCCACCAGCTGATTCATTAGTCTTTAAAAAAATTCCCTCCTGAAAACAAACCTTACCTCTAACCATGCCTACTGGCAGAAGGAAGCTTGAGAGTATGTATGGCAGACACTGGACAGGGGTTTGGAAAATCGGGATCTCGTTTCTTGCATCCTCATAAGTACCTTGTGACTTTATGGATGGTTTGGTATATCTTCCATGGGCCCCAGATTCCTCCATCTATGAAGTTACATGAATGGTGTTGATGGTTTTGGTCAACAGAATTCTAAGATGGTCCCCAGTATTCCCGTCCCCTGGTGTACATGACCTGGATAATCCCCTCCTTTGAGTGTGGCAGAAGTAACAAGGTGTCGCACCCTGTAGTAATGAGGTATAATTTACATATAGTAAAATACACACATTTTAAATTCAGAGTTAGATGGGTTTTGAAAGGTTGTCTCTCTTTTCTTCTCTGTCAACTTTGTTGCTATAAATATTCTAAATTCTTTATCTGACATTTCCTTGCCTTCCAGTGTACTGTCTGTGCATGAGGAGTTGTTCTTTTTCCCTTGGGAGAGAGAGATTTCCTTGGTTTCTCATATTGTGCTTCTGAAGTAGTTTCTGGTCATCTGATGAATTGTACATTTCTTTCTAATTTTTTGAAGTTAAACCTAAGTGTTCAGAGGCGTGCAGGAGGAGGTGACTTTACAATCTCTCTTCAGTTCTGTTTTTCTCCATTTGTGCAGCAGATTGAGTGGGAATTGAGGATTATTCTGATCCTAATAGTAATCAGATGTTTGGCTACTGTGCACCTAGACCTATCTAGACAATCAGTGTGTAGAGGCTGAGCAACAAAGTTATAAAGGTAAAAGAAGAAGGAAAAGGAAACAAAGAAAGAAGGAAAATAAAAGAAGAAATAATTTAAAAAAGAGAGAAAAAGGCAAAAAATTTAAAACCACACCATGAAAGGGATTGCTCACAGCTCAAATGCAGATGACTTCTCAAAGAGTCTGTGTGTTACCTCTCCTATCAGTCTGGTGGATCTTGGGGTCTGAGGGGGAAGTCTGAGCAGAAACCCTTCGGTTGGTCTAGCCCTTGAAGGGATTGCTCACATTTGTAGCTTTAAATAGCCGATCTTATTTCTGCGGGTCAGGAATCCAGGCATGGCTTCGCCATATACCCAGGGCTCATGGTCTCTCCTGAGAATGCAGCAGGGGTCATCAAAAGGCTGTGGGCTCATCTAAAGTCTGGACTTGGGTGAGGGGAAGACTGGATCCATGTCCAGGCTCGTTCACGTGGCTGTTGGCTGGGCTCAGATGATCCACTCGCGTACACAGATATGTGGGCCTCTGCACAAGCCTGCCTTGGGGCATGGCGGCTCCCTTCCCTCAACGTGAAGGATTTCAAAGAGAATGAGAGTGGACTCCCAAGGCAGAAGCCACCTTCTTTTTTTATTTATTATTTTTTTAAGATTTTATTTATTTATTTTTATTTATTCATTTATTTATTTTAATTTGACTGGAGAGAGAGAGAAAGTGAGAAAGCAAGCCACCAGGTCCAGACTCAAACCATGGTCGACCATGTGAGAGTGTCCAGCACCTTAGCCATCATGCTACCTGCTGGTCCCTGCCACAGTCTTTTTTGTAATATAATCGTGGAAGCGACACCTTGTTACTTCTGCCATGTTTTATTAGAAGTAAATCAACAAGTCCTGCCCACACTGAAGGGAGCAGATTATAAGGGCATGAACAGCAGAGGTGGCCATCATGGGAGACCATCTTGGAGGCTGCCTACCACAGGCCACTATGAGCAGAGCTGCTATGAATATTTATATACATATATTTATACAAATGTATGTTTCTGGTTTTTTTAAATAATTATTTTATTTAGGGACCAGTAGTCTGCATAATAGCTATGTCGCTGGACTCCCATGTAGTCGACCGCAGTTCCAGTCCTGGACCCAGTGGCTTAAACTCACGCCGGGCATGTGTGCGTGCGTGCCCAAGATCCTGAGAGGAGAATGGAGGAGAAGAGATTGTGGCGTGGCCATGCCCCCTGGGGGATGATTTCTCACTTTCTTTCTCTGTCTTTTTCTGGCGAGCACATGCGCCCTATAGCAAAAATCTTTTCCCCCAAAAAAAGAATTATTTTGCTTGATTTTATTTATTTTAATTTGGCCAGAGAGGGACAGAACATTTGTACAAGAGAGTGCGAGTGAGAGCGAGAACGAGCGAGGGAGTGAGAAAGTGAGAAAGCAAGCTGCCAGGTGCAGGACTCGAACTGCGGTCAATGATATGGGAATCCAGCACCTTTAACCACCATGCCACCTGCCAGCCCCTTATTTCGTTTCAATGAATACGTACCTGACAGTGGGTATTGCTGACCTTCAGAGTAAGTGTTTAGATAAATAAGCAGCTGCCGAATTGTTCTTGAGGAAGACTACCATTTTTCATTCCCACCACAATGTGAGTTCTAATTGCACATATCTACCAGCGGTTGACATAGTCTATATTTAAAATTTCAGCCATTCCAAACCAGCTGGCAGCCTGGTGGGTAAGGTGGCTGGATCACACACGGCTGAGTGACTTGAGCCCCACACTTGACAACTTGAAACACACACTGGATGTATGTGTGCACATGCCCAGAGTTTCAAGAGAATAGAGGAGAAGGGATTGTGCCATGGCCATCCCCTGGGTGATTTCTCACTTTCCTTTTCTTGCTCTCCCTGGCGAGTTCATGCACCCTGTAGCAAAATTTTAAAAAGAGAGATTTAAAAAAATGTTAGCCATTATAGGGAATTATTAAATATTAGTGATATTTCATTGTGTTTTATGATATTTCTCTAAAAAATAATGATTTTGAGAATTTATGCATGTCATTATTTGTCATTTGTGTACTCCCTTTGTGAAGTGTCTGTTCAATTTTGTTTTGCCAATTTTTAAATTGTGTTGTTTTTCTTATTATGGAGTTGTAAGAATTACTTATAAAACATCCTGAAAATTTACTCTTTCGTCACATGTGATTTACAAATATTTTTTCCAGTCTATTGCTAGTCTTTTTATTCTTTTTTTAAAGTTTTTGCTATAGGGTATGTGCACTTACCAGAGCGTGACAAGAGAGAAAGTGGGAACTCACCTCCCCAGGGGTTATGGCCATGCTGCAATCCCTTCTCCTCCACTCTCCTTTCAGGATTTCAGGCACACACTCAAACTGTGAAGCTGGCCCTGTGGGATCCAGCACCTTAACCTCCACACCACCTGCTGGCCCTATCTTTTCATTCTCTTAATACTGTCTTGCAGATAGCAAATATTAATTTGATGAAGTCCAGTTTATCAGTATTTTCTTTTATGTGCTATATGTAAAAAAAATCTTTAACTCCAAATCACAGATTTTCTTATATGTTTTCTTCCAGAAACTCAATAGTTTTAACTCCATCAGGTCTGTGATCCATTTCATGTTTATTATATGTGGTGTGAATCAAGGTTCAAGGTTCCCTTTTTTCCCATAGTCACAGCCAAATGTTCCAGCACCATTTATTAAAGACTCTCACCATCGGGTTACTTTGGAACGTGTTGAAAATCAATTGACTTCATCCCTGTGGGTCTGTTTCTGGGTGCACTCTTCTCTGTTAATCTATGTGTCTATTCGGTAAACAATATGAGTCTTGAGTACTAGAGCTTTATAGTAAGTCCTTATAATCAGGTAGTATGTGTTCTACAATGTTGTCCTTTTTCTTTCTTTTTCCTTTTTAGTTTTTTGTTATAGGGTACATATGCTTGCTGGAGAGAGATACAGAGAGAATGGGGAAGTGAGAAATCACCTCCCAGGGGGATGGCCATGCTGCAATCCTTTCTCCTCCAATTTCCTCTCAGGATTCTGGGCACTCATGCACATGTGTCTGGTATGATTTTCAGGCTGCCAGGCCTGGGACTTAAACCATGGTTGGGCATGTTGGAGTAAATCAACAAAGCCCCTTAACCACCATGCCACCTGCTGGCCCCAACTTTGTTTTCTTTCAAATTTATTTTGGCTCATAGGTCTTTTGAATTTTCATGTCAATGTTAGAATCAGCTTGTCAGTTTCTATATAGAGGTCCATTGGAAAGTCTAGTGGAATTTTTATTGAGATTGTATTAAATCTGTAAATCAATTTAGGGGAGAATTACCATCTTAGCTTTATTGACTGTTCAATCCAGGAACATGATATATATCTCTGTTTTGTTCATCTCTGATTTCTCTCAGCATTTTTTGTAGTTTTCAGTGTACAGGTCTTACATGTGTCTTGTTAAATTTATTCCTAAGTATTAATGTTTTTCGATGCTATCACAAATGGTATTTTATTGGTTTTTAAGTTTTGCTTTTCTTAACCAATTCAAATATGAGCAATATATAATTCTGAAGAACCTAATTAATTTTGGAGACTTACGATGAGAATTCTAGTTGCATAAGTAAATTGTGCTTTTTATATCAATTATTTTCTATGGAATTATCTGAAGACAACAATAGCAGGCAGAACATTTCCAGAGGTGTCTGAGATGTTTTGAAATCTGAAATTTGAAAGTTAATGCATGTTTGCAAGGTGCTCATTATGACTAACAAGGTGCTTCTCTCATCTGCAACATTCAGGAATTCCAAGAGTTTTAGAAGCTCTCTGGTAGGAACTGGGGAGGAAGCCTAAATACCTATCTTTGTCGTTAGAGCACAATATCATAGGTACATACACTAAGATCATCTACTGCCCTTGACAATAGAGAGTGTTCAATGTTTTCATCATGAAAATGACTAGAGTTTGAAATATTGAGACAAATTGAAATTTTATCTGATTTAAACGTGTCCTCTTATTTCAGTGTCCTGATGTTTCTCTGTTTTACTCTTTCTCTGTCTCTTTTTCCCTTTGTTTCTCTATGTAGATGGCTTTGGAAGATTCAGAACAGAAGCACAATCTCTTACATTCAGTCTTCACGGATCTGGAAGACCTGTCAATAATTTTTGAAACAGATGATTTGACACAATCCATACAAGAGTTAAGTAATCAAGTAACAGCTTTACAACAAAAAATAATGGAAACCCTTCCACAGGTTCAGCGAATGGCTGATGTAAGTTTATACCATAAATGCGTAATCACTTACTTTTAATTTATATTTTATTTGATAAATTAGTGTTATACTAATCACTTCCTAATTATATGGCGATGTATGAGTTGGCAAATTTTTTATTTGTGTTCTTATTTCTTGAATTATGTTTTCCTTCACCTCGTCACCTGTAGCAGAACTACAACAGAAGGCTCGTCCATACTCTCAACTCGAGATGGGCTAGTTAGATGAAGGATCGTGATCAGATAAGCTCCGTGTTCCCTCTTTGTCAAAGACGACATACATGTTGCAATACTGTCGATTTAAAAGAACTGACTAGGAAAGAGGGAATTAAAACAGATCACCCCTCAAGTCTTCATTCACCAATAGCACATATTTAATTAGGGGCTACTGTTTGTAGCCACTGGATTTTAAAATAATTTTATCTTTGCTTGAAATAGATAAGGCATTTATGTAAGGGCAGAGTCACATAATAAAGGCAAATGAGTTGTTTTTTTTTAAAGACGGTTAGTTCTTAATTATTTATCTTGTTTCTCAGTTGCATGACCTATGCTGCACTATTGTAATTCTAGGTAATAATTACTATTTTTAAGTTGCTAGAAAGCATGCGCACTCAGAGAGTCAGAGAAAGAGGTAGAGGGAGAAAATCCGCCCACCAGGATGCAATCTCTGCCCTTCCATTTCTCTGTCTTATGATTTGTCATACATGTACACATGTCTGACGTGGTTTTTTAAGCTGCCGGGGCCAGGATTCAGAGCTTGGCTGACCATGTGGGATCCAGCTTGCTTAACTGTTAGGCTACAGGGCTGGCCCAATAATTATTTATGTTTGAAAAAAAAACATTTGCTGGAGGTCATGTGTGCTTGCTGAAAAGGGGACTCCAAAGCACCCCCATGGTCACACAACAATCCCCCGTTTCTCTTTTCTGGATATTGGGCACATTTGCCCATGCACCTGGCATGGTTTTCAAGCCTCTGGATCTGGGACTCAAATGGCCCAGTTGACCATGTGGGATACAGCTGCCTTAATCACCGTGCAACAAGCTATCCCTCTGCCCCCCAGTAATTATTAAAGTAAGTATTCTTGGTTACTGAAGCTTATTGCAAAGTTTTAAAATGCTTCTATAATTTTTAATGGAAATTTCCCTAAGTGCACTATATAATTTTATGTACCTTCTTAAACAGTAGGTGCAGAAAGTAATTTCAATGTAATTAAACTCTTCTTCATAATTTAGTGATATCACTATAAACAGTTACTATATTTACTATTTCATCTGTTTCAGGCTTATGAAATTTTATTTGTCCTGGGGCTGGCAGGTGCCATGGTGGTTAAGGGCTCTGGACTCCCACATGGCTGACCACAGTTCAAATTCCAGACCTGGTGGCTTGCTTTCTCATTTTCTCTCTCTCTCTCTCTTTTTCCCTCTCTCGCTTTGTCCCTCTCTGTCAAATTAAAATAAATAAATTAAGTTAAATAATTCTTTGAAAAATAAATAAATAAATAAAGTTTAATTTGTCCTTAGAATGAATGGCTCCAAGTTGCTGTAATTTGAAACCCTCAGACAGTTTCTATGGCATTTTAAAAAAAACTTCTTTATTAGCTATGTGTTCCTGTTGCTACAGTGCATTTGCATTAAACGCTAAAATTTGAGTCTGAAGACTTTTCTTCTGTAGTGTTTCTACCTACTTTGATACGTAGGTTTTGCAGCACATATCTTAACTTATTTTTGCAGCATTTCTTCCTTAAAGTTATTGCCAGGTTCTGGACATTGACATTGGTGAAACAATAACCACTGGACAAATAAGCTATTCTTTAAATTTATCTGAGTAGGTTATAAAGTAATTCAGTGACACTCTGCTTGTTAGAAGTTGGGAAGAACATCCTGTCAATTTTTCAGATCCTGTGTGTTAGTTTCTCAAGGGTGACTTTATCATTTTATTTAAAGTGGGAATTTCTAGAATGCCAGAGCCACCTATGTTAAGTATTTAAACACATTCCACAAGAGAAACACTTTGAAGATGATTGAGAGGTTATTTAAAAATATGGATGCAGTAGCCAGCAGGTGGTGTGCAGGTTAGGGCACTGGGTCCCACATGACTGACTGCCTGGCCTGAGTCCTGGACCCGGTGACCTGAGAAATTTGCCAGCACTGTGCTTGTGTGTGTGCCCAACATCCCAAGAGAAGAATGGAGAAGGCCATGGCCATCCCTCCTAGGGTGATTTCTCACTTTCCCTCTCTGCTGTGAGTGCATGAGCCCTATGGCAAAAAAAAAAAAAAAAAAAAAAAAACACAAAAAATCTAACAACAACAACAAATTGGATATATGCTACCTTGGTTCTTTTTCAGAGTGTAAGTAATTAAAAATGGTCCCATTGCTGATCTTTAGTAAGGTTTAAGCAGTGCTTTGTAGTGTGGTATGCCATCAATGGAATCACATTTTTATTAAAAACAGTGACCACTACCTGTTTAGCACTTGGTTGATTTTTAAGAAATATAAGTGACAAACATTCTTTGATTAAATATGAGAGTAGCATTAATGATAATAATTCTGTTTTATAGATTATTAATGTACAGTGTATATTGCATGAGCATGTTATTGTTTCTGAAATTCTAGGATGTTGTTGCTATTGAATCGGAAGTAAAATTAGTGGAGAAAAGAGTTTCAAAAATCAAAGCCATCCTCTTATCAAAAGAAATATTTGATTTTTCACCTGAAGAGCACCTTAAGCATGGGGAGGTAAGCATGGATCATTAATAAAAGTATTTTCTCATAACACTTATTATGTCTTTTTAAAAATATGCAGTAAGGAAATCTGAGGTCCTGGTGTGTTCGGGGACCAAGGCGATGAAAGTTATGCTCTCAACTTCATCTTCTAGACTCCCGAAACACTCAGACAAAAAGCCATTTTAAATCTGAGATGTGTCCTGGCATGTTCAGGGACCAAGGCAACTAAAGCTGTGCTCTAAACCTCATCTTCTAGACCCCCAAAACACTCAGACAAGGACAAGGGTCACTGAAGTCTTCAACACTTATTGAACCTCCTGAGCTGTTAATAGGTTCAGCAATTTCTTAAAATGTTTTTTCTTCTTGTCTGTTTGTTTCTTTAAATTAAAACAAACTTTTCTCTCTTCTTGAATCGTCTGGAATTGGAAAATATTTTGGAGTATTCTTATTTTGTGGCAGAATGGTTATTTGCATAAGTTCAATAATACCTGTTGCCTTGAATCAGAAATTGGAAATACTCGTTATTGGACAGGGCTCTGACTGGAATGTCATATCTGACGATTAAACCAGAAAACTTTGGAGCTAAGGTAGATCTCAAGTAAGCCAACAGAAGCTCTTGGAAAGATGGCCTGGCACTATAAACAGTTCTGCCTGGCAGAGAGGATTAGAGAAGCTATATGAAAGAATTCATACCATAAAATAACCTGGACTTTTCCAGCCCAGCATTGTAATCAGTAGAGACTGCTAATTAGCAGCCACAACCAGAGGGTTATCCTGAGGAAGACTTTGAAGGAAGAACAAGAGACCGATCTTTGCTAGCAGATGGTATATCACAGAATATTTGGTAGGCAGGGCTGGATTGAGAAGGTTTATGTGTGACTTGTATACTGAGTGTTTGCCTTTCAATAGTTTGAGTAGTTGACATGTAATTATTTTCTCAGAAATATTTAAAACCATGTTCAGGGACCAAGGCAACTAAAGCTGTGCTCTAAACCTCATCTTCTAGACCCCCAAAACACTCAGACAAGGACAAGGGTCACTGAAGTCTTCAACACTTATTGAACCTCCTGAGCTGTTAATAGGTTCAGCAATTTCTTAAAATGTTTTTTCTTCTTGTCTGTTTGTTTCTTTAAATTAAAACAAACTTTTCTCTCTTCTTGAATCGTCTGGAATTGGAAAATATTTTGGAGTATTCTTATTTTGTGGCAGAATGGTTATTTGCATAAGTTCAATAATACCTGTTGCCTTGAATCAGAAATTGGAAATACTCGTTATTGGACAGGGCTCTGACTGGAATGTCATATCTGACGATTAAACCAGAAAACTTTGGAGCTAAGGTAGATCTCAAGTAAGCCAACAGAAGCTCTTGGAAAGATGGCCTGGCACTATAAACAGTTCTGCCTGGCAGAGAGGATTAGAGAAGCTATATGAAAGAATTCATACCATAAAATAACCTGGACTTTTCCAGCCCAGCATTGTAATCAGTAGAGACTGCTAATTAGCAGCCACAACCAGAGGGTTATCCTGAGGAAGACTTTGAAGGAAGAACAAGAGACCGATCTTTGCTAGCAGATGGTATATCACAGAATATTTGGTAGGCAGGGCTGGATTGAGAAGGTTTATGTGTGACTTGTATACTGAGTGTTTGCCTTTCAATAGTTTGAGTAGTTGACATGTAATTATTTTCTCAGAAATATTTAAAACCATCCTGTCTCTGTTGTTATAGAGTTAAAAACAAAGTATAATAAATATTTTGATATCTTTAAAATTAGTGTTTTGAGATTTTGAAAGTTTTTTTTATTAACTGTCAACTATGGAGTATGAGCAAAAAATTTTTGATATGTAAATATTTGTGGGGAAATGTAAACATAAATAAATAAATGATAAAAAATAAAGTAAAAACAAAACAAAACAAAACAAAAACATGTAATAAGGGGCCAGCAGGTAGTATAGTAGTTAAGGCTCTAGACTCCCACATGGCCAACCACAGTTCAAATCTCAGGCCCAGTGAGTTGGAACTCACACCGGGTACATGTGCATGCAGGCCTAAAATCTCAAATCAAATGGAGAAGAGAGAGTGGTGTGGGCATCACCCTGAGTAGTGATTTCTCACTTTCTCTCTATGTATAGCTCTCTCTTTGGTGAGCACACACACCCTATGGCAAAAATCTTTTTAAAATATAATAATAAGATAGGGTAAAAAGTATATAGGCTTACTAGAATAATAGCAAAGTAAGGTTGAAAACTAAATATGCGAGAATGTACATTGACTTTAAATCCTGTTCATGGTACTACTTGGGTAAAGATATTTTTCCTATCAGTTAAATTTTCATGTACATTTTTGCCGTCAAGAGCTTCAAATCCAAGAGCTTCAACACTGAAATCAGGCTAAACTGGGTTCCTGCTCCAGCCATGCTGTCTACTGGTTATGTGATTTTGAGTTACTAGTTAATGTTTCTTGGACTCTTTTTCGTAACTGTACATTGGCCAGTTCTAATGTATAGGGAGTGCCTAGCACAGCAACTGGGACATATTATACAGCAAGTAAGCATGTGTTTTTGCTTCATGTAATGATTGAAAGCATGTGCCTTGGGATCAGGCAGGCCTGGGTTCTAATCCCAGCCCTGCCCATTATAATCTGATCTCACCTAAGTCCTGTAACTTCTGGAAACCCAATTTCCTTATGTATGAATGAACATTAGAAGATGGACCTAAGTGAAATGATGCATACAAAGTACTTAGTAGAGTGAATATTATTGTCTTCTAATGTGTTGTTTTTGTATATCCATATTTCTATGGATCAGATGTTATTAAACAAGATGTAATTATACTCCTCAGACTCATGAAATTTGAAATTTGGTTGGACAATTCTGTCATTCAGTATACCTTTTTTTGGGGGGGGAGAGGGCCTTTTATAAGAATGTGTTAAAAAGTTCACAGATAAATGGAATTAATGTACTGGTGTTACTTTGGTGCAAAACAAATTTTGAAATCCATGCATAGTTTCATTTTCCATAAACGTAGAAATCTTGATGTGTCAGTATGTACTGGGTGTAGTTGTGATAAAAATAGGTGCAGGGGGCCAGCAAGTGGCATGGTGGTTAAGAAGCTGGATTCCCACATGGCCGACTATGGTTTGAATCCTGGACCTAGTGGCTTGCTTTCTCGCTTTCTCTCTGGTGAACACATATGTTCCATACCAAATTAAATAATTATAATTATAATAATATATAAGTCTTAAAAAATAACAATTTGCAGTACATGCCCTTACATATCCCTGCCCCGTGACAATATACACTGCAAAACAACAGTTCTAGATAGAGTGGGGAGGAGAGAAGGAAGGAATGGGTTGTCCAAATGCATAACTTAGGCTGGCTGCTGGCTGGCTACCCTTGCCCCCAGCTATACTTTCCTGAGAACTTTATCAGATCACAAATGATGCAGTAGTTCTTGTCTATCTTTGAGGATGTATTTTAAAAATGAAACTTCAGGGACCAGCAGTTAGCATAATGGCTATGGCGCTGAACTCCCATGTAGTCGACCGCGGTTCGAGTCCCAGACCCAGTGGCTTAAACTCACGCCGGGCACATGTGCGTGCATGCCCAAGATCCTGAGAGGAGAATGGAGGAGAAGGGATTGCAGTGTGACCATCCCCCTGGGAGGTGATTTCTCGCTTTCTGTCTCTTTGTCTCTCTCTGTCTGGCGAGCGCATGTGCCCTATAGCAAAAACCTCTCCAAAAAAAGGAAAAAAAATGAAGCTCCAGATTAAAGACTAAATTATACAATATTTTAATTTTGACTAAACTAGCTAATTTTGTAAGAAAAAAATGTATTAATTACCATGTTTCTCTTATATACTTAAGGTCATACTTGAAAATATTCGTCCCATGAAGAAAACAATTGCTGAGATCATGTCTTACCAAGTGGAGCTGAGGCTACCCCAGACAGGAGTGAAACCTCTGCCTGTGTTTCAGCGGACAGACCAGCTTTTACGAGAATTAAAACTAATGGAGAATGTAACTCAAGAGCAAAATGAGTTAGTAAAGGTGAGCAGTGTATAATGACAGCCAACTTATTGGATGAAAATGTTCAGCAAAAGCTGATTTTGTTTACAATTTTAATTGAAATTAGCATCCAGGGTGTGGCATGTGTTAAGGATGTAATGTTTTTCTGTTCTTTCCTTGGCTCTGGATGAGGACATTAAAGCATAATCATTGTGTGTATTTTTTTTTTTTCTTGGAGAGGTTTTTGCAATAGGGTATGTCCGTTTACCAGAGAGACAGAGACAGAAAGCGAGAAATCACCCCCTGGGGGGATGGCCACGCCACAGTCCCTTCTCCTCCAATCTCCTCTCGAGATCTTGGGCACACACGCACACATGCCCAGCATGAGTTTTAGCCACCGGGTCCGGGACTCAATCCACAGTCGACTACATGGGAGTCCAGCCACATAGCCATTATGCCAACTGCTGGTCCCTTAAGTTTTTGCCTTAAAGCACGTGTGCTTGCTGGAAAGAGAGACAGAGACAATGAGAGGGAAAGTGAGAATTCACTCCCTTCGCCCCAGCGGGAATGGCCATGCTGCAGTCCCTTCTTCTGGGATCTGGGACACACACGCATTTCTTACTGGCGTGATTGTGAAACCAGAGTCCAGAACTTGAACCATGGTGAGCCACATGGAAGTCCAACAGTATTTGCTGGCCCCAGTCATGTGTGTTTAATGCCATTCTAGTTTTTCAAAACCTGCATGAGTAAAATGTTGCAGGGTGAGATTCAAACCTAAGAAGGCATTTGTAACCCCGTGAGGCCAGTAGATACATAAAGTAGCCATCAGCATATACTGTTTCCATCTTGGTCACTGCTTTGTGTTTTGGTTTTGGATTTTTAGATGGTCAAACTACTGACCACTAAGATGTTCTAGGAAACAGTGAGAGATTTTCCTCTCACAAGTTCATGAGTTCTCCATACTCCGTGTTTGGCTTTTCTTATGTCCAGCGCAGTTCGAGCTCACTCCAAAAGCTGTTTCCACAGTCTTCATAAGATTTATCCCCCGTGTGAAATCACTTAATGTTCAATTAGAGCTGAGAACTGGGGGAAGGATGTGCCCCAGGCATGGCTGGCAAGGCTTCTCACCAGCGTGGGTTCTTCCGTGCCACCTCCACAGCGCACTGTGCTAAAAGGCCTTTCCGCACACCTCACGTTTGTAAGGCTGCTCTTCCGTGTGGATCCTTCTGTGTGTGGCAGCTCTGCCTCCATGCTGGAGGCACCCGTGGTGTTTCTCCCGTGAGTGGATTCCTTCATGTTTGCTGAGATCTGAGCTCTGACCAAAGGCCTTCCAACATTCCTTACACTTGTGAGGTCGCTCCCCAGTGGGGATCCTTGCTGATTGGAGGTCTGAAGCCCCACTGAAGTCCTTTCTACACTCTGAACATCCGTATGGCCTCTCTAGTGTGTGTTCTGCCATGGATGCTTACACTGGGAGGCCTTCCCACAGTCCCTGCTCTCATTAGGCTTCTCCTTGCTGCAGGCAAAGAGCTGATGGAGTGTTGAAGCCTTTGCCACGCTGGGTGCAGTTACAGGGTTTCTCCCCATGTGGATTATCTGGTGCATAGAAAGCTGACTTCTGATCTTGATTGCTTTCCCACACTCATTATACTCAAGACATTTCTCACCAGATAGATTTCAGTCATGGAGAATTAGGCCTAAATGTCAATAGAAGATTTTCTTTTTATTTGTATTTTTGCCATGGGTGCATGTTGTCACCAGAGACAGAGAAAGAGAGAGAGAAAATGAGAAATCATTCCTCGGGGGTATGGCCACACCACAGTCCCTTCTCCTTTGTCCACCTGTTGGGATTTTGGGCATGCATGTATGTGTGCCCAGTGTGATTTTTAAGCCACCAGGATTGAGACTCGAACCATGGTTGACTGTGTGGGAGTTCTGCACCTTAATTACCATGCCACCTGCTGGCCCTGCCAACTGAAGTTTTTGCCACATTGGGCACTTTGTGGCGTTTCTGTTTGTAAGAGCTCTGTTACATGGAACATGTTTTGAGGTTTTTCTAAGTACCAACTGGCTCTTTCCTTTATGGAAGGTCACTTCCTCAGAGCCAGCTTTCTCTTCTTTCGGTTTCTCTCTATCGGGTATTTCCCACTGAGTCACTGACTTGACGTCCTGCGCACAGACTCCTCGAGCCTCAGGAACCTGGGAAACAACTTTTCGGACACTGCTGAAGCTTACCCAGCAGGCTTCTCCATTTCTAAAACCTCTTGTCCTGAACTTGCCTTCCCATCATCCTGTGCCATGTTGTTGACCCTGGGCAGGAAGAGTTCTGGGGCTTCCTGTCTGCAGATCCTGAACGCAGGGCTCTGTTCCCCGCTTCAGGTGAGAGATCAAAGGAGGCTGAGGAAATGGAAATCTCGACTCAAAACCTGGCTTCTCAGTCATAGCTGCTGTCGGCAGTGTGCTTGGCTTCCATCGTTAGTGAAGGCGGGCCGTTGAGGGGTTGGTAGAGCTCTGAAGGATCTGGGCATCAGGGTGGGGTGGGGGATACAGAGCAGCCAGCTCAGTGGTCTGGACCCTCACCTGACAAAACAAAACCCTGCTGCATCTTTTTAGGTTTTGCCATAGTGCATGTGCATTGGCTGGAGAGAGGCAGAGACAGTGAAAGGGAAAGTGAGAAATTTCCCCCTGGGGGAATGGCCATACTGCACTCCTGTCTCCTCCATTCTGCTCCTGGGATTTTGGGCATGCACACATGTGCACCCGGCGTGAGTTTCAAGCCGCCAGCCTGCTGCATCTTTTCATCCAGGCTTCTTTTTCAGTCTCCCACCACTTTTCTGGTTTCTTCCTGCTGGTCAGATCCAGTTCCCAAACAGCAAGTTGTGAAGGGGATCCTGCAGAGGTCATTCTCCCTTGGGGAAAACAGGACAGGTAGTGCCAGCCGAGGTGGCCCTGCCTCACCCACAGGGCAGCTGTTACTTGATATGATGTGATGTGTCAAAGCTGCCCTGCCCTGGATTTGGGCTTCATCAACAACATTCAGCCAGCTATGAGCTCACGTCTTGTTTCCTCGTTTTGTGTTAGTTCTTCTGTCCTCTGTAGTACTTTACCTCATTCCAGCATGGTGTATAAGTGACATATGAACATGTCTGTTGTTTACTGTGGCTCTATCCTTGCTGAAATGTAGGTGCCTAGTTTTCTCAAGGGCAGGAATTTGGGTCTGTCTTGTTCACTGTTGTATTCCCAATGGCTAAAACTGCCTGCTTTAGTAGGCTCTGGATTCAAAATGGACTGAATAGGGCCATCCATGGCATGGTGGTTAAGGCTGCTGGGGCCCACTTGTTTGAACAGTTCAAGTCCCAAACCCAATGCCTTGAGAAACATGCTGAATACCGAGGTGTTTGTTCCCAAAATCCTGAAAGGAGAGAGAGAAGAGAAGGGATTACAGCATGACCATTCCCTATGGGGGAACTGAACCCCTGGTCTTCCCATGGGTCAAGCATCCCTGGAGAAAGGTGTTAACCACTGGGCTATTGAGCCACCCTGGTTTGAATCTTCACTTATATGGACTCTCTGGTTGGGACACTAACCAACTGATATAATTTTCTAACATCCATACTCAGAAAAATATCTAACATGAAATTTACAGGATTTTTTTTAATGTCATAGAGAGAAGGAAAGAAAAAATCTGATCTCTTATTTTTTATCTTTTTAGTGTTTTATTGATCTCCTGTTAGAAAAAGAAAATAACATCCTAACTACACTTTAATTTTTCTTTTTGGAGAAGTTTTTGCTATAGGGCGTGTGTGCTCGCCAGAAAGACAGAGAAAGACAGAAAGCAAGAAATCACCCCCCAGGGGGGATGGCCACACCGCAATCCCTTCTCCTCCATTCTCCTCTTGGGATCTTGGGCACACACGCACATACTCCTGGCGTGAGTTTAAGCCACCGGGTCTGGGACTGGAACCACAGTAGGTTCCATGGGAGTCCAGCAACACAGCCATTACGCCAACTGCTGGTCCTGCTAACTGTGCTTTAAAGTGACTTCTTCACAAATATGAAAGGGAAGAGATAGAGAAGGATATTGTATTTTGGACCAAGTCAGATGTCAGACTGCTGGCAAAATTTCCCATCTTTTCGTGTTGGTAGAAATTATACATTTCAAAGCTAAGTAAGCCAGTGATGATGAAAACCATTAGTGCATGATCTGTCTCCTTTAGTTCCTACTTTAGATGTTGAAAGTGTCCTCACTGTAGAAACTAAGGCAGATACCTTCTGTGGGGAATAATGGGATGTAGTTTATTATTGAAGTCTACAGAACAGGTGTGCGTAGTGAGCATAGTTATTAATTTCTAGCCTGAAGCCAAAAGCAATGGTTAAATATTAAAGGAAATACAAGGAAGAATTCTGTACTGGCCAGAAACGTAGTTTTAAAAGGCATTTTGCTTTTGTATGAAGCATACCAATGAAGTATCTCGACATTCTTTTGAAGTTTATTTCTTGATCTTTCTTCATACTTTGGTCATATTAATGAGTCCCCCAAGAGGTCTGAGCTCTACTATCCCTTAACACTAGATTCCAGGTGCAATTCTGGATGGTTTTTGCCTCATTCTGCAAACTCAGACTGCTCTCAGACCCTCAACATCCTACTTGTAGAGTGGATATCACTGGTCCCAGGTGGTTCCCGGTCAGGATATGTCTGGACTAGGAAAATCCATCATGGTTCAAATTACATGCCCTGTTCATTCTGAATCAGTAATATTACCTGTCCACGTGGAAGGCCCCACAGAGACTAGGTATTAAAATGGAATATGTGACACCAGTAATTTCATAGAACTTGGCAACTTAATGTTAACATGCCATTAAATGCTCCCCAGAATAAACCCACTAAACTGGAAATACTTAAGGGTGAAGGTGTGTCTAATTAGACTCGTAGTCCTGGCAGGGCCAGGGTGCTCTGACATCTTGTAGAGCAAGAAGACCTTGTTCTCGCTGTCTCTGCCATTTTCTATTGACATCTGTGTGGGTGCACATTTACTGTCATCGACGGGAACTTTTGTTGTGGATAGAAAGCAGAAATCACCTGTTAATTTAGTCCTAAGGCTATGACAAAGATTTTTCTTTTGGGGGTTATTTTATAGGTGGTCATAAAACAAGCTAATGAATGCGATGAAGAAATAGAAAAATTTAAACAGATCTTAGATAACTATTCAGCCGAGTGCTCCCTTGAACATATGTCACCAGACCAAGCTGCCAACCTGCTGCAAGTACAGGTATGTTTCTGTCATTCATCCATCCATCCCTCAGTCCATTCAAGAGTCACGAAGCTTTGGGTGTTGAGACCCCTCCATTGTGGTAAGGTGATATTGCCTACTTCTGTGTTCCAGTTGAAGGTATTTTCTGTGTGTCTTTACTTTTTATTCTCATTTCATAAAATAGGTGATAATGTAATTACCATTACTTAAAAAAAGATAAAGATTGTAGCCCCTGAAATTGAATCAGAAGAAACTTTATCTGTTTGAGGAATGAGCAGTCCTAATCCCAGTTGCCCATAGCGTCGCGTGGTGCATTTTGATCTGAATTAGCTCTGGTGCCAAAGAGACTGGTACAACAGGATATTTGGACCACCTCCTTGCTAGTGTGGTGTGGGCAGGCTGGGCTTCAGAGGTCAAGACCTTGAACACGGTCATAATGAAGAGTTCCGGATATTAAGTAGTATTGCCATACGCCGTTATTAACAAGCCCCCGTGGACCCAGTTTACGATGGTTTAACACATCAACCCTCTATGGCCAGGGATGTTTTACAGCCTTTGTTTTTGAATGAGCATTTCCATGATGAAAATGTTTGATCATGTGCCAGGGATTGTGTAGAACTGATTTTTCCCCTGCTATCAGGTGGATGTAGGCAGGCAGTGAATACAGTGCTCAAAGCAAAATTACACCACATGCTAGCTGTAAGAACAGGGGAAGTTACCCAACGTCTATGGCGGGGTACAGAGGGATCCATGCCAGCACAGGTATTGAGTGGTGGAATCAGTAATGCAGATGGTATTAAAGACCCAGTATTGTAAAAATGTCCGAATTCCTAATTCCCTTTCAATTAAAAACTTTGAGACCCCAAAGAACTTTTCCTTACGTGAGTGTATATCTACTGATATAGAAAATAAACCTCAAAAGTGTAAAAACATTTGTCTAGTTTATTCTAGCATTACAATCACAAATTTTTACATATTAATAGAAATAACCTTTTTACTAAACTAATTATATTTTCCAAAACAAAAAGTAGTGATATGGGTGATACTGTTTCCCAGGTTTGTAAATCTCTTTAATATCTGGCATAACAGAGGCCAGCTACTGGGTTGTCTGAAAAGTCATGACGTCATTTTTCTACACAAAAATGCGCCATGACTTTTCTGACAACCTAACAAATTCCCATCTGTTTCTGTGTTTGGGCTATTGAGTTCTGTACTTTTGTTTGAAGCATGTAAAGACAAATCCAGCTTCTCAAAGACATGTACTTGGGAAAAGGATGATTGTTTTTATAGCCGTCTTGAGTAATTATGGACATTTTTCTCTGGAACTACACTAAAACTCAACTGGTGAAAATTATTCACAGGTTAGTTGTAAAATGGAATCTGAATCATATTAATACACTTCTCATACTCTTACATTAAAATCCATCGGTCTGTCTTACACCTTGAATGGATCTTGTAACCATCTGTGGTTTTATAACGTCATGTTTGATAATTGGAAAATGTTTCACTGGGTTATACAGTTCTCCCAAATATTAAAATATTCTGGTAATCAATATTAAACTACATTTGTTAATATTGACATATATTTTCAGAAAAAAATCTTTAACTTAGCATTTAAGTGTGTCAGTATACCTCACCAGTTTTCTTTCAAGTAAAAAGAGTGTTTCACCACAGAAACAAGTACTTTTCCTCAATCGTTGTGTTTTGGTGTGCTTTGTGCATACTTCCCATCTTGTCACACAAAATATTAAGTATATATATGTCGTGGTCTGAATGTTATTGTCCCTCCAAAAATTGACGTTGAAACTTAATCCCCAGTGCACAAGTGGCGGGAAATGTGACCTTTGGGAGCTGACTGCCTCCTGAGGGCCCCAAGCTCATGAATGAAGTCAGTGCCCATATAAATGGACAGTCTTGCAGTTGTAAACCATGCCCCAGCCTCCCAGCTCGCTAGGACCAAAGGTGCACTACCACACCCGACCTGCTTCAGGTCAGTCTGGAGTCTGAACCGGGCCTCCCATGTGGCTGTAGTATTGCACAGTGGTGCCTCACCACCTGCATCCCCATGGCTGAGCCTGTCAAGGACATTCCTAAGTGAGACTGGCATTTTATTTTTCTTAGAAGTGCTATCTTTTTTATAGTGAAGAATATAGTAGCTGCTAGTATATTTGGTATCCCTGACTTGATTCCTATTAGGAGTTAATATGGGGTTGTCAGAAAAGTGAGGACATATTTTTTCTGTGCAAAAATGCATCATGACTTTTTCGATAACCATATAGTTTTACACACCATTGCTTTCATGCCATTATCAGTACAAATAATAGCACAGTTAGAAATGTAAACAATATTTTAGTATTTTTTTTGAAAATGATCTTCGCATCATGGACGATGGCACCCCCAAAGGTCTGCAGATGTGGTTTGGAAAATGGCAGCCCTGTGTCCTACTGGGTTGCCTCTGTGTGGGGTAGCTCAGCAGACTGCTCAGGGTCTCTCCATGTCAGTGTTGCTCTGGGGAAGCCCCGCACCTCTGAAGTTTAATGTTTCTGAAAATGGAGCACAAACTACCGACAGCTCACATTTATTAATACTTCTCTTAGGAACCAGCAGGTAGGATAGTGGTTAAGGCGCTAGACTCACACATGATCTACAGCGGTTTGAGTCCCATACCTGGTGGCTTGAAACTCATGCTGGGCACATGTGCGTGTGGGCCAACATCCTGGGAGGGAATGGAGGAGAAAGGATTGTGATATGCTATTCCCCTGGGAGATGTTTTCTCGCTTTCTGTCTCTCCAGCGAGCACTCACACACTATCACAAAAATCTCTCCAAAAAACCCCAAACCAAAAACTTATCATTTCCCAAAAGCAGTCCCAGGAATTGTGACTTCAGAACAGGGTCTTGGGGGTAAGGTATGTGTAGGGTCATAAGGAATTGGGTTTGGGCTCCGTCACATGCTGGCTGTAGCCTTGTACTAATCCTTTCCTTTTCTGGGCTTTGCCTGTAGGTAGAGATGTATTATGTTTCTCTGTAAAAAAAATAATAATTAATTTTATAAATATCTGTAGGATGGATGGAAAGAAGGAAGGAAAGAAAGAAAGCAAGAGAGAAAGAAAATAAAATAGAAGTTTAAGACAACATTAGGAACAAATGTCAAACACATGAAGGTTTCCTGAAAGGTTCAGGCTGTCTTCCAATACAGCACCTACCCAAGAGCTTGAGCAGAGGTTGAAGAATACTTCTGAGAGGGGCTGGGGACAAGGATGTTAGACTGTTTGACACCAGCTAGTCCGTCCAAACCTGGGATTTCATTGTCTGATTCTCTTAGACAATGGTCATCTGTATTTTTGGTCATCTACTGTTGTTTGCACAGATCATTACAGCTGTTACAAGTGACATTATGAAGCTTAAGGTTGTCCAGTGTCCCTGTAGTAAGTTATACTGCATGCTACCTTTTGTTTGTTTGTTTGTTTATTCTCACTTGGCAGAAAGCTTTTACTTCAGAAAAAGTCAATGAATTTGATAATGCCAAAAGACTCCAAAGGCAATAATAAAAGAATAAGATTTCTAACCTTGTTTTCTCTTAGTGGCTCCCAAATTATAGTCTGCTTAAGAATCTCCAGGAAAGAGGGAAACCTGTCTCCTGGGAACGTGCGTTTTTAGTACCCTGTGTGACAAAAATGGGAAGTACCATCCAGGCACTTTAGTTCTATTTGCTAAAGTTTAGTCCTAAGGCTATGACAAAGATTTTTCTTTTGGGGGTTATTTTATAGGTGGTCATAAAACAAGCTAATGAATGCGATGAAGAAATAGAAAAATTTAAACAGATCTTAGATAACTATTCAGCCGAGTGCTCCCTTGAACATATGTCACCAGACCAAGCTGCCAACCTGCTGCAAGTACAGGTATGTTTCTGTCATTCATCCATCCATCCCTCAGTCCATTCAAGAGTCACGAAGCTTTGGGTGTTGAGACCCCTCCATTGTGGTAAGGTGATATTGCCTACTTCTGTGTTCCAGTTGAAGGTATTTTCTGTGTGTCTTTACTTTTTATTCTCATTTCATAAAATAGGTGATAATGTAATTACCATTACTTAAAAAAAGATAAAGATTGTAGCCCCTGAAATTGAATCAGAAGAAACTTTATCTGTTTGAGGAATGAGCAGTCCTAATCCCAGTTGCCCATAGCGTCGCGTGGTGCATTTTGATCTGAATTAGCTCTGGTGCCAAAGAGACTGGTACAACAGGATATTTGGACCACCTCCTTGCTAGTGTGGTGTGGGCAGACTGGGCTTCAGAGGTCAAGACCTTGAACACGGTCATAATGAAGAGTTCCGGATATTAAGTAGTATTGCCATACGCCGTTATTAACAAGCCCCCGTGGACCCAGTTTACGATGGTTTAACACATCAACCCTCTATGGCCAGGGATGTTTTACAGCCTTTGTTTTTGAATGAGCATTTCCATGATGAAAATGTTTGATCATGTGCCAGGGATTGTGTAGAACTGATTTTTCCCCTGCTATCAGGTGGATGTAGGCAGGCAGTGAATACAGTGCTCAAAGCAAAATTACACCACATGCTAGCTGTAAGAACAGGGGAAGTTACCCAACGTCTATGGCGGGGTACAGAGGGATCCATGCCAGCACAGGTATTGAGTGGTGGAATCAGTAATGCAGATGGTATTAAAGACCCAGTATTGTAAAAATGTCCGAATTCCTAATTCCCTTTCAATTAAAAACTTTGAGACCCCAAAGAACTTTTCCTTACGTGAGTGTATATCTACTGATATAGAAAATAAACCTCAAAAGTGTAAAAACATTTGTCTAGTTTATTCTAGCATTACAATCACAAATTTTTACATATTAATAGAAATAACCTTTTTACTAAACTAATTATATTTTCCAAAACAAAAAGTAGTGATATGGGTGATACTGTTTCCCAGGTTTGTAAATCTCTTTAATATCTGGCATAACAGAGGCCAGCTACTGGGTTGTCTGAAAAGTCATGACGTCATTTTTCTACACAAAAATGCGCCATGACTTTTCTGACAACCTAACAAATTCCCATCTGTTTCTGTGTTTGGGCTATTGAGTTCTGTACTTTTGTTTGAAGCATGTAAAGACAAATCCAGCTTCTCAAAGACATGTACTTGGGAAAAGGATGATTGTTTTTATAGCCGTCTTGAGTAATTATGGACATTTTTCTCTGGAACTACACTAAAACTCAACTGGTGAAAATTATTCACAGGTTAGTTGTAAAATGGAATCTGAATCATATTAATACACTTCTCATACTCTTACATTAAAATCCATCGGTCTGTCTTACACCTTGAATGGATCTTGTAACCATCTGTGGTTTTATAACGTCATGTTTGATAATTGGAAAATGTTTCACTGGGTTATACAGTTCTCCCAAATATTAAAATATTCTGGTAATCAATATTAAACTACATTTGTTAATATTGACATATATTTTCAGAAAAAAATCTTTAACTTAGCATTTAAGTGTGTCAGTATACCTCACCAGTTTTCTTTCAAGTAAAAAGAGTGTTTCACCACAGAAACAAGTACTTTTCCTCAATCGTTGTGTTTTGGTGTGCTTTGTGCATACTTCCCATCTTGTCACACAAAATATTAAGTATATATATGTCGTGGTCTGAATGTTATTGTCCCTCCAAAAATTGACGTTGAAACTTAATCCCCAGTGCACAAGTGGCGGGAAATGTGACCTTTGGGAGCTGACTGCCTCCTGAGGGCCCCAAGCTCATGAATGAAGTCAGTGCCCATATAAATGGACAGTCTTGCAGTTGTAAACCATGCCCCAGCCTCCCAGCTCGCTAGGACCAAAGGTGCACTACCACACCCGACCTGCTTCAGGTCAGTCTGGAGTCTGAACCGGGCCTCCCATGTGGCTGTAGTATTGCACAGTGGTGCCTCACCACCTGCATCCCCATGGCTGAGCCTGTCAAGGACATTCCTAAGTGAGACTGGCATTTTATTTTTCTTAGAAGTGCTATCTTTTTTATAGTGAAGAATATAGTAGCTGCTAGTATATTTGGTATCCCTGACTTGATTCCTATTAGGAGTTAATATGGGGTTGTCAGAAAAGTGAGGACATATTTTTTCTGTGCAAAAATGCATCATGACTTTTTCGATAACCATATAGTTTTACACACCATTGCTTTCATGCCATTATCAGTACAAATAATAGCACAGTTAGAAATGTAAACAATATTTTAGTATTTTTTTTGAAAATGATCTTCGCATCATGGACGATGGCACCCCCAAAGGTCTGCAGATGTGGTTTGGAAAATGGCAGCCCTGTGTCCTACTGGGTTGCCTCTGTGTGGGGTAGCTCAGCAGACTGCTCAGGGTCTCTCCATGTCAGTGTTGCTCTGGGGAAGCCCCGCACCTCTGAAGTTTAATGTTTCTGAAAATGGAGCACAAACTACCGACAGCTCACATTTATTAATACTTCTCTTAGGAACCAGCAGGTAGGATAGTGGTTAAGGCGCTAGACTCACACATGATCTACAGCGGTTTGAGTCCCATACCTGGTGGCTTGAAACTCATGCTGGGCACATGTGCGTGTGGGCCAACATCCTGGGAGGGAATGGAGGAGAAAGGATTGTGATATGCTATTCCCCTGGGAGATGTTTTCTCGCTTTCTGTCTCTCCAGCGAGCACTCACACACTATCACAAAAATCTCTCCAAAAAACCCCAAACCAAAAACTTATCATTTCCCAAAAGCAGTCCCAGGAATTGTGACTTCAGAACAGGGTCTTGGGGGTAAGGTATGTGTAGGGTCATAAGGAATTGGGTTTGGGCTCCGTCACATGCTGGCTGTAGCCTTGTACTAATCCTTTCCTTTTCTGGGCTTTGCCTGTAGGTAGAGATGTATTATGTTTCTCTGTAAAAAAAATAATAATTAATTTTATAAATATCTGTAGGATGGATGGAAAGAAGGAAGGAAAGAAAGAAAGCAAGAGAGAAAGAAAATAAAATAGAAGTTTAAGACAACATTAGGAACAAATGTCAAACACATGAAGGTTTCCTGAAAGGTTCAGGCTGTCTTCCAATACAGCACCTACCCAAGAGCTTGAGCAGAGGTTGAAGAATACTTCTGAGAGGGGCTGGGGACAAGGATGTTAGACTGTTTGACACCAGCTAGTCCGTCCAAACCTGGGATTTCATTGTCTGATTCTCTTAGACAATGGTCATCTGTATTTTTGGTCATCTACTGTTGTTTGCACAGATCATTACAGCTGTTACAAGTGACATTATGAAGCTTAAGGTTGTCCAGTGTCCCTGTAGTAAGTTATACTGCATGCTACCTTTTGTTTGTTTGTTTGTTTATTCTCACTTGGCAGAAAGCTTTTACTTCAGAAAAAGTCAATGAATTTGATAATGCCAAAAGACTCCAAAGGCAATAATAAAAGAATAAGATTTCTAACCTTGTTTTCTCTTAGTGGCTCCCAAATTATAGTCTGCTTAAGAATCTCCAGGAAAGAGGGAAACCTGTCTCCTGGGAACGTGCGTTTTTAGTACCCTGTGTGACAAAAATGGGAAGTACCATCCAGGCACTTTAGTTCTATTTGCTAAAGTGTGGCTGTAGTATTGCACAGTGGTGCCTCACCACCTGCATCCCCATGGCTGAGCCTGTCAAGGACATTCCTAAGTGAGACTGGCATTTTATTTTTCTTAGAAGTGCTATCTTTTTTATAGTGAAGAATATAGTAGCTGCTAGTATATTTGGTATCCCTGACTTGATTCCTATTAGGAGTTAATATGGGGTTGTCAGAAAAGTGAGGACATATTTTTTCTGTGCAAAAATGCATCATGACTTTTTCGATAACCATATAGTTTTACACACCATTGCTTTCATGCCATTATCAGTACAAATAATAGCACAGTTAGAAATGTAAACAATATTTTAGTATTTTTTTTGAAAATGATCTTCGCATCATGGACGATGGCACCCCCAAAGGTCTGCAGATGTGGTTTGGAAAATGGCAGCCCTGTGTCCTACTGGGTTGCCTCTGTGTGGGGTAGCTCAGCAGACTGCTCAGGGTCTCTCCATGTCAGTGTTGCTCTGGGGAAGCCCCGCACCTCTGAAGTTTAATGTTTCTGAAAATGGAGCACAAACTACCGACAGCTCACATTTATTAATACTTCTCTTAGGAACCAGCAGGTAGGATAGTGGTTAAGGCGCTAGACTCACACATGATCTACAGCGGTTTGAGTCCCATACCTGGTGGCTTGAAACTCATGCTGGGCACATGTGCGTGTGGGCCAACATCCTGGGAGGGAATGGAGGAGAAAGGATTGTGATATGCTATTCCCCTGGGAGATGTTTTCTCGCTTTCTGTCTCTCCAGCGAGCACTCACACATTATCACAAAAATCTCTCCAAAAAACCCCAAACCAAAAACTTATCATTTCCCAAAAGCAGTCCCAGGAATTGTGACTTCAGAACAGGGTCTTGGGGGTAAGGTATGTGTAGGGTCATAAGGAATTGGGTTTGGGCTCCGTCACATGCTGGCTGTAGCCTTGTACTAATCCTTTCCTTTTCTGGGCTTTGCCTGTAGGTAGAGATGTATTATGTTTCTCTGTAAAAAAAATAATAATTAATTTTATAAATATCTGTAGGATGGATGGAAAGAAGGAAGGAAAGAAAGAAAGCAAGAGAGAAAGAAAATAAAATAGAAGTTTAAGACAACATTAGGAACAAATGTCAAACACATGAAGGTTTCCTGAAAGGTTCAGGCTGTCTTCCAATACAGCACCTACCCAAGAGCTTGAGCAGAGGTTGAAGAATACTTCTGAGAGGGGCTGGGGACAAGGATGTTAGACTGTTTGACACCAGCTAGTCCGTCCAAACCTGGGATTTCATTGTCTGATTCTCTTAGACAATGGTCATCTGTATTTTTGGTCATCTACTGTTGTTTGCACAGATCATTACAGCTGTTACAAGTGACATTATGAAGCTTAAGGTTGTCCAGTGTCCCTGTAGTAAGTTATACTGCATGCTACCTTTTGTTTGTTTGTTTGTTTATTCTCACTTGGCAGAAAGCTTTTACTTCAGAAAAAGTCAATGAATTTGATAATGCCAAAAGACTCCAAAGGCAATAATAAAAGAATAAGATTTCTAACCTTGTTTTCTCTTAGTGGCTCCCAAATTATAGTCTGCTTAAGAATCTCCAGGAAAGAGGGAAACCTGTCTCCTGGGAACGTGCGTTTTTAGTACCCTGTGTGACAAAAATGGGAAGTACCATCCAGGCACTTTAGTTCTATTTGCTAAAGTTCAGCCCCCAGGTGCTGGCCCACGGATCCTGGTTCCCAGTCCTGTGGCTAACCAGGGCTCCCAGCCCTGGCAAAACACCACAGCCAGCCATGGAGTTTGCTACACATTTCCGACTCCCAGAGATTCATTCATTCACGAGGTTCCGGAGAGGCTAAGGCATTCTCCAGCTTATAGACCCTCACAAGGCCTTTGGAAGTGCAGCCAGGGTGGAGAAGGACTATACTGTAGCAGAGACTAGGTCCTGGCTTTGCAGCCAAACAGCTGAGAACAGTCTCGTCTTCCCTGTACCAAAGGGAGCAGGTCCCTATGGCAGGCCAAGGCCTCACACTTCCGAAACAATACTCTTTCTACGCAGGGAGAAATCGGAGAAATGGAACAGCAGATTCTGAGTTTGAACCAGAAAAAAGAAGACCTGTTAGTGGAGTTGAAGGCCGCTGTACTAAACCTCCACCAGCATCTGAAGCAAGATCCACAAGAAGGAGAAGGAGATACTCCGTCAGCCATGGCATCGGAGGAGGGTGGGATGGCAGAGAGGGATGCTTCTGAGTGGAAGGTGGGTATGACTTTAGACCAGTGCTGGTCCCACATGGCATGAGAATATTGTCTATGGCCTACAGTAAAGGAATTTTTTTTTTAAGTGGAACTACTCCATCTGAGGTTGTTTACTTGTGAATAAAAGTCCTCAGAGTGTGTCTGTTTTGGACTCAGCCCAGAATTTTTATGCCTGAGTTACTGAAGGACGTGCTTATGAAATTCCGCAGGCAGGTGGGCGGGAGCCATTCTTTGAAGTATCTTCCTACAGAAAAGTCAGCTCATTGCGACTGAGGAGCGGCCCAGCACTAGTGTAAGCCCACTCTGAATCCACATCAGGGGTCACATTCTGACATCGTTCAGTGCTGGGCCCCTGGGGGCAATGTAAGAAAGGGCTGGGAGGTTGACTGGGCCTGGATAATCATCTGGATGAGCTGAAAGGTGCAGGAAGAAGCTGCTGGTGTGAAGGGCACCTTGCACAAAGTGAGTGAAAAACTAGCTACATAGAAATGCAGCCAGGCCAGGCTTCTGGGGACGGTGAACAGAAGCCAACTGCACATGTCTTTGTGTTGTGTCTTACAGTCGAACAGAACAGGCTCCATGTCTTTCCTGCCTGCAGTGGAGGAAGAAGCGGAAGAAAGCTCCATGAAGAGTGAAGTAAGGAGAAAGATTTTCTTATTCAAGTTTGTCAGAACCAGGACCAGCAGATGGTGTAATGGTTGTTGCTGGTCTCCCACATGTTCAACCGTGGTTCAAGTCCTGGACTTGGCGGCTTCAAACTCATGCTGAGTTCATGTGTGTGCGTGCCCAAAATCCTAAGAGGAGAATGGAGAGAAGGAATTGTGATGTGGCCATTCTCTCGGGGGGTGATTTCTTGCTTTACCTCTCTCTCTCTCTCTCTCTCTCTGGCGAGTGCACATGCCCTATAGCAAAAAATCTCTCACTAAAATATTTTTTTAAAGTTTATCAGAACCAAATCTCTAAAAGAAGGCCATTGGAAAAATCATAAAATGAATGAAAACCTATGTTTTTTTAAGTTGCGGTTGATATTTTAAAAGTATGACTGAAGTTGTTCTTTTATAATATTAACAGTAAGTGCATCTAAACCTACCTCACCATGTAAGAGTGGGATATATGTATTTAGACACATGTGTTGGCTTCAGGGAGAAGATGAAGTAATTCTTTGTTGTATCCTGACTTCTAAATACATTCTGTGCAGTTTTGAGAGTATGTTTTGTGGGTGATACCTCTGCTGTGATCTTTTTAGAACTTTTTTAAGCCCGTATTTGAATGAACCCTTTTGAACTAAAAAGAAGTATTGTCAGGGCCAGCAGGTGGTGTGGTGGTTAAGGCACTGGACTCTCACATAAAGGACCATGGTTTTTGTCCCAGACCTAGCAGCCTGAAAATCATACCGGGTATATGTGCATGCATTCCCAAAATCTCAAGAGGAAAATGGAGGACAGGGGATTATGGCATGGCCACCCCCTCCTTCCCGCCAGGGGCTGATTTCTTACTTTCCCTCTCTCTGTCTCTCTATGGCAAGTACATACTTCCTATGGCAAAAACCTTATGGGAAGAAAAAAACGTATTGCCAAGGACTTGAAAAGTCATGTTAGAAACTAATACTACCAATTCTTTCTACTTCAAATGAAGTTAGAGTAAGTCTTAGGCCAAGAGGAAGAAAATTGTAGCAACTTACAGTTTTTATAACTCACTTGTAACCACTGGACATTTTTTAATGCTTGATTTATAAATTGTAAATAGCTCCATGTCTCAGAGGACACACCTCTGGTCCGTAGCTGAGTGTAGGACTGCGAAGAGGCTAGATTTACCATGTCTTTTGCAGTCTGCTTGTGCCCCATCATGGCAGAGAGAATGATGAGAATAGAGGACGGAATAAATTGTTAAATAGCTCCATTTCCCAGAGGACACACCTCTGGTCTGTAGTCTAAGACATGGCTTAGCTGAGTGTAGGACTGCGAAGAGGCTAGATTTACCATGTCCTTTGCAGTCTGCTTGTGCCCCATCATGGCAGAGAGAATGATGAGAATAGAGGACGGAGCAGGTGCCAAGAAAGAATGCACTTCAGTGTGATCTTAATCTGAGACAGGGACTTGCTTCTGAGCTGATATGTGTATGTCACTTATTGTTTATCTTTGACAACAACAATAAAACAGGCCCACTAGGATAGTGTGTGCTAGATGCTGCTGCTTGGCAGGCTGAAGTCACATGCAAGGCCAGGGTTCGAGTCCTGGCCCACCCTGAAAGCTGGGTGTGGTGGTGTGCACCTGTGGTCCCAGTCACTCAAGAGGCTGAGGCAGGAGGATTACAGTACAGCAAGACCTTGTCAAAAACACCACACACGCCCCACCACTACCCACCAGAAGAAAAAAAAACAAGTTCATCAAGCTATTCTATTTTTTGTCATTGAAGAGTAAAAATTATGTGTATGTTGTACAGCATGATGTTTTGATAAATTGAGCTACTGTATTGTCTCATATACTGCCATTTTTTTTGTGGCGAAAACACTTAAAATTCACTCTCTTAGTTCGTTCAGCCACAGTGGTGCAGGCAATAGGGATGTTGCTGAGTGGTGCTGGAAACCATCAGAAAGGCTATGGGTTCTCATCCTCAGTCTGCCTCCCCCCTGGAGATGCCTGTGACCCTGGCTGGCTGCAGGAGTGGGCACCCCCTGATTGCGGCATGAAGACCCTTGTCATGGGTGTCTCTCTCTCTCGATAAATAATCTCTAAAAAACTACTCTTAGCCATTTTAAGTAAATGACATATTATAGTTAGCTGTCGTCGCCATGATGTGCAGTAGACCTCTTGAACTTCTTCCTCATGCCTGACTGAGATCTGTATCCTCTGACCAACATCTCCCCACTCCCACGCCTCTGATAATCATCATTTTACTGAGTTCGATTTTGCTTTCCGTGAGTACATGAGGTCACGCGGTCTATTTCTTTCCATGCCTGGCTTACTTCACTTAACCTAATGTCCGCCTGGTGTGTCCAGTTGTTGCAAATGACAGGATTTCTCTTTTAAGACTGATGGAGAGGAAGAGACTAAGACTGAGACTCCAGCAGGGTCTCCACACCGTGGTCCACCCCCAGCCTTAGCCGGTCCTCAGGGGCATGTGTATGGGTCTGGCCTGGCAGAGCATCGCATTACTGCTCAGCCGCCATCTGGCCCCTTTTCCGTCTTCTTGAATAAACCCATTCTAACAGTGTGAAGTGTTATCTCATTATACTTTAACTTAACATTTTTCTGATGATTAGGGTTATTGAGCATTACTTCTTATACCCATCAGATTATCATTTTGAAGAGAATGCCTAAAGTTACATTTACAAAGCAAATTGCATTCCTAAGGCACTGTTTTAAAGATCTCCTTTGTGTGACATAAGCTGACTCCCTACTTCTTTTTAAAAGAATTATTTTATTTCATTTATTATCATTATTATTTGTTTAATTTGACCAGAAAGAGACAGAGAGAGAGAAGGGGAAGGTAGGAAAGCAAGCCTTCAGGTCCAGGACTCAAACCGTGGTCAGCCATGTGGGAGTCCAGCGTCTTAACCACCACGCCCCTGCTGGCCCTGCTGACTCCCTGCTTTTAAAAATGTTTCGTGGTTTCAGGGAGAACAACCACATTTGAATAAAACGTACTTTAGTGAGAAAAATAGATGGAAAATGGGGGGGCAGAATTAGGGCTGTGGTTATACTGTCTTGGGAAGTTGAGTCTCATAAAGGGTGGGTAGAGTGCTGGTTATGACCATAGGGAATCACTTCTTTTTACTGATCAATTGATTTCTGTCTCAGAATGGAGACAAGAAAACAGAGGTGTCCTTTGAGTCTTGGTCTTCACTCTGGAAGCATGACAGGGACATGGAAGAAGACAGAGCATCCTCGTCCTCTGGGACGATTGTTCAGGTAATACAAGGAGCATCATGCTTGGGGGTTAGGGTGGGCACGGAGCTCTTTTTGATCAACTTTCTGCAGTGACGTGACTTTGCTGTCTTTCTCCTTTCCTTTGGTTTTTAATCAGCTTGCAGATCTTTAAGATACCAATCTGCGGCCCAGAAAAAGAATAAAAATAAATGATAGTAAATAACTGTATGAAAGAATTCTTAGGGAAGGAATCTACTTGGGTTAAAAAATAATTGTTTTTTCATTGACAAATAAAATTTGTTCATATTTGTGGGGTGCAAATTTTTTAATATATGTTGGGATGGTTATATCAAGCTAATTAATATATCGCATATTATTGTTTCTTTAGTGAGAACAATTAAAATTTATTCTTAAATATTTGGGTATATACTACATTGTTATTAACTGGAGTTACCATGTTGTACATTCTGTTTCCTTGGACTTATTTCTCCAGTCTAACTGGAATTTTGTGTCCTTGGATGACTGTCTTCCCAATCTCTCTCCTCAAGCTCCTGGGTCTGCAAGTTCAACTATTTCAGATTCCACAGAGAAGTGAAATTATGCAGCATTTGTCTTCCTGTACCTGACTTACTTTACTTAATGCCCTCTAGGTTTGTCTTTGATGTTGTAAATGAGATAATCTCCATTTTCGGAGCTGCATAATATTCCATTATTTATATGTAGCACATTTCTTTTGCCTGCTCATCCATTGATGAATACTTAGATTTATTTTGTATCTTGGCTACTGTGAATTTGTAATTTACTGTGACTTCTGTACAAATGCCAATATGGCCAAGTAGTGCTTATTATCTGTAAGTTCTGTTTTACACCCAATGATAAGACTTCTTCTGAGGAAAAGAGCACATGTGAAAATCAAAACTGACAAAACTGATAACTTGGGAGGATCACCTTGAAACTTCTTTACAGTGCTGCTCGGAAGAATTTAACATGTCTCCCATTGGGAAACATTGGGAGAGGGGCTCACCTTTTTCCTTCTTTTTTTTTTTTTTTTTTTTTTTTTTTTGAGCAGAGTGGTATATAAGATAAATTAAATGCAATAAGTCTTCTTTGGTCCTTCTGCTATTCTAAGTCTCTTGTCTTTCAAGGTGGTAGGCAAATGCCCTCAGTTAAGAAAATCATTATAAACTGATGTGAACACAATGCCCGTCCTTTGTTCTGTAAGATCGCTCTATTATGGCCCATACGCCTCTTCCCTCCTGCCTCCTGTCCACTGCCTCCCTCCCTCCCATGCTAACCCTTCACTAGTCATCCGCACCATGCTGCCTGTCTTCATGTCCATGTCTTAATTACTCGGGTTTCTCCTCCCTGCAAGTTCTTTCCCTCATGGACTCACCCCTTCCAACACATTGACCATCCCAAAGCCCAGCCTGTCTCTTTAGAAAATGCTTTGCTTCATGGGATGCCCTTTCTCCATGTCTGCCCACAGGCCTTCTACGCATCCATAAAGATCCATCTCAGCTTCCACCTCCTCCAGGATACCTGAGACCCTCGAGGGAAATTGCTCTTTCCTGGTGTTTCCCACTAGCATTCTGAGCCTCACTTATGACTTACCACATGTTCATGAACATACCATCGCAGGTTCATGAATGGCAAGAGTATGTTCTGTAGTTGGCTTGGTACTGAACTTTAACCCATTGAACTTTGTGATCCGCTTCCCATGTCAGTTGATTGCTAAACGTCTTTATTTGCTTCTCTCCTCTTTTGGCTTTGGCTATTTTGTAATCTAGCTTTTGCCTCTGGCTAGGGCTCAACTGTCATTGATGTCTGGATCACCAATCTAGCCTTTTTATTAGTCATAATCCTTATCAAGCTCCCCTGCATGAGATATTATTGACTATCCCTTCCTTGAAATGCGATGTTCCCTCCTTGCCCCTTCATTTTTTTTTTTCTCCAAAATGTGCATTTGTTTCTTCTATGAGATAGAAAGATGGGCGTTCTCAACTGGGTCTGAATGCAGGATCTAGCCCCGGCCCCACCCTGCATTATGGGCACATGTGTGCACACCCAGTGTGCACAGGGAGATCTCGAGACACAAACCTGGACCTCCCATGTGGCCTCAGGTACCTGGAGTATCACGTCACTGCTGTACCATCACGGTGGCTTCCTTTGACTTTCTTACCTCTGTTCCTTCCTGGCTCTTCTACCTCTTAGCTTTCTCCCTCTCCTCTTGCCCCACCTTCTCTTCTGGTGTGTGATGGTTAACTTCTCTCCCATGTTCTGTTCTCTTCTTTCTCTCTGTTATCTCCGGGCCATTTCATCTTCTTTCATAGTTTTGGTAGTCTCCTCTGTGCCAGTGAAATGACAGGTCTTGGCCACCCCCTTCAGTCTGTTTCAGATTTCTACCCTCCTGGGAGACTTCTCTTTTGAATGGATTTTGCTTCATCTCAACCCCCTTTACCTTCAAAACTTCTCCTTTCTCTTAATTTCTCAATGTCTCTTGATAGTATCACTGTTTTAGCAGAGATGAACTTCAGAATCCTCACAAGTTCTTCATTTCTCTGACCTTTCATAATTAAGTCATGGTCACGTGATGCCCATTCAATGCCATTTTCTCCTTGACCCAGTATTTTTCCCATCATCCTATTTCATGTGATTGCCATTACTTCTGTGGACGTTTGGAGTGGCCTTCTACTTGGTTTTAGGAGCTGTAGTTATTTTTCTAGTATCTTGTAAAATACTGTTGACTGTTCCTTAAATAAATCATACTGAGCTCCAGCTTAAAATCTCACATAAATACTTAATAAATACTGAATAAAATACAGACTTCTTAGCTTGGCATTTCAGACTTTTCTTTAGAGAGGGATTTTTGCTAAGAGCGCTTGTGATTGCCAGAGAGAGACAGAAAGCGAGAAACCACCCCACAGGGGGGACAGCCATGTCACAACCCCTTCCCCTCCATTCTCCTCTTGGGCTTTTGGGCATGCACGCATATGCACCCAGCACAAATTTTAAGTCACTGGGTCCAGGATTTGAACCACAGTCAACTATGTGGGAGTTCAGCAATGTAATCATTATGCTATCTGCTGCCCCCCCCCCCAAGACTTTTCTTGATCCCCACTTACCTTTCCAATTTACCTTTCATTCTTGTTTCATACCTTTCTGATAGCACTTATTGGTTTTAGTGGGGTGGATTCAATAGTGTGAAAAGATACTAACATGTTAGGAACTGCAAAGTGGCTTATACACACCATCCTGTTTAATAATTATAAGCAAGAGTAGGTACGTTACGTCAATGGTGAAGTGACTGAGGTCCAGAGAGCCCAGGTTAACTTGGCTAAGATCGTGCAGCTTGTAAGCAGAACAAGCATGATTGTGTTGATCACATATCGGTACACTTCCCTCAGTACTGTGCTAATTACATGCGGACCTGTCATTTTCTCATTTAACCTTGGTTAACCATGGAAGGGGCATTGCTAGATCAAAGTACGTATTAAAAATGTGGCACGCATTGTGTTTTTTTAATACTTATTTTATTTTTATTTATTCATTCATTTATTTTTTTTCAAATTTGACCAGAGAGAGAGATAGAGGTTGAGAGTGAGAGAGAGAGGAAGTAAGAAAGCAAGCCACCCGATTCAGGACTTGAACCCTGGTCGGCCATGTGGGAGTGTTCAGCGCCTTAACCACCATGCCACCTGCTGGTCCCAGACACACATTGTTAAATCATCTTCTAGAAAGATTATACCAATTTTATTCCTCCTAGAAATGTATAGAAATGCCATTTTCCTGACCCTATTCTGCTATTTGATATTGACAGCGTTAGCATACTTAGCCAGTGGTTAAAGATTTATACTCGGGGAATGCTGAAGATCACTTTAGATATCTATTGGCTTTTGTAACTCTTTTATAAATTGCTTATTTATGCTGTTTTCTATAAGAAGTTTGGTGTTTTCCTCAGTGATTTCTTTTTTTAAAAAAATTATTTTATTTATCTTTATTTATTTTAATTTGACCAGGGGAGGGGGGGTGCAAGTGAGAAAGCAAGAAAGCAAACTGCCAGGTCTGGGATTCGAACTGTGGTCAGCCGTGTGGGAGTCCAGCACCCTTAACCACCACGCCACCTGCTGGCCCCCTTCTTTAGTGAATTCTAAGAGTAGTCAATATGTTGGTGATATGAACGTTTTGTAAGTTGTTACCCCAGTTTGTCATATCTCTTTTAACCTAGATTATGGGACTTTTTGTGGTACATCTTTTTATTTTATGTTGCCAATACCAACATTTTTTCCTTTATTTATTACCCATGCTTTAAAAGTCCTTCCGCACTCCTAGATTAAAGTTCAGTCATTTGAAGGATTTTTGTGGTATATTTAGTTAAATATTAGATATAATTAAAATTCATTGTGGGGAGTAAGGCAATGATTTAGTTTTATTTTCATGAAATGTAGGTAGTTGTGTTTAAATCCAATAAATCTGTCCTTTCTCCCATTATGTGAAATGTTACCTTTATCGTATAATTTTATCTAATTTGTATTCTCATAACAATCAAGTGCTTGTTTATTTAGAATTCTTACATGCTACTCAGTAAGTAGAAGAGTTTGGAGAATTTTTTTTGCCTCAGTTTTTGTTAAAAGGCCTTACAGACCCACCAGACAGAGACAGAGGGAGCAAGAGGAAAAGTGAGAAATTGCCCCCCAGGGGGATGGCCCCTCTGCAGTCTCTTTTCTTCTATTCTCCTCTCTGGATTTTGGGCACACACCCACACATACCGGCATGATTTGCAAGCCGCTGGGTTCAGGACTTGAATTGCACAGTTCGCTCTGCAGAATCCCGCACCTTAACCTTCATACCACCTGCTGGACCTGAGAATTCTTTTAAGCTTATTTATTTATTCATGTATGAGGGAGAGAGAAAGAGAATGGTTTCTGACAAGGTCTTACCATGTCATAGTCTTCCTTCCCTAGCCCCTAGTTAGAGCTACAAGCATCTGCCATTGCATCCAGACTGTTTAGTTAGTCTGGGAACCACTCCCAGGCCACCGTGCGGCCTCAGCCCAGTGTGGCAGTGTCTTAGCAGCAGTCACTACCACACTGAGCCAATGGGAGGGAATTGAAGTCTTTCAAATAAAGATAAATACAAAGAAGTCGATTTTCTTCCCTTCATGAACTACATTTTTTCTAAATGTATCTGACTTGTCTGGACATTTTTGCAGTAGGCTACTTACAAACTGAGCAGTTGTAAAACAGCAGGCCTGGACTTTGCTGGACCTGTTACTCTTTGTTTTACAGGAGGCAGCCAGGAAAATAAGCGTCTGTGATGGTTCCACGACACAGATCCTTGCATTAGACCCATTAAGGGTTGAACAAGGCCCAGAGTTTTCCTTGAGGCCCAACCAAACAGAAGAGGTAAGTGTCTGTCAGTAAAGCCTACTAACTGCACAAATACCTAGACTGGCACTGTAGATGTTACAGGTGGTCTGCAGGGCTTTGAATTTCAGGTCGTGTTTCTTGTGGACTTTGCGCCCCGATATGTGCTGTCAAGTTGTAGAACTGGAAGCTTGGCCATCTGCTCTACGTCCTTAATCTGTAGGTGTAATGTATAGGGAATGAAAGTGGAGGAGGGCTCATCCCGATTAATCACCTATTATGTAAGGTGCATTTCTGTTTATTATCAATTTAGTTCTCAGGTTATATAAGTTGGCTAATAAGTTTACAAATGAGAAAATAAAAATTTAGGGAGTGAAAAATACAACTAGTAAATGGGGGAGTCAGTATCAGGCTCAGAATGTTTCAAAATACTCCGAACTGCCTTCCTAATTCGAAATCCTCTACCTCAGTGGTTCTCAAGAAAGCCTTCCCGAGTTAGGTGCAGTGGTGCAGGCGGGAGGGTGCCACTGTGCAGTGTCCGAGGCCACAGGGTTTGGTTTCTGGCCCGACCTAACAGGCTGGGTACCATGGCACACGCTTGGGATCCTAGCAAATTGCAAGGCCCGGGCAGGAGGATCAGGACGCGGTGAGACCCAGTCAAAAATCTGTCACTTGCCCCCACACCTCTCTTACTCTCACATGCTCACTCTTTTTTTTTTTTTTAAAGAAAAACAAACAAAAACATGTCTTCCAGGAGACATCATATCCCAAGTTAGTTTTGGTGCTTAGCTCTGTCGATCTCACTAAGTATCTCCTTGAAAAGATAACTGATACACTTTTACTGCTTTTTAAAAATTAGTGCTTCTTTTTTATTTTATACTGAGGTCTTTTTATATCTTTTCTCCCAGTCTTTGGTCTTACAAAAAACGTATATTGGTTGTCCAACAATTCCTCTCTTTATTCTTCCATTTTTAAGAACAATATTTATCCAGTAAGGTAGGTGAATGTCAGAGTTTGCGCTCACTGACAACATCTAAGTGTAAAAGAGTTGCTGACCTTGTCAGTGGGTTTGTTACTCACTGACACCTACTTGAAAATTAGATGTAGCTTCACTGGTGTTTTGGTACAGCAGCCATTCAGCCTAGCATTTCTCTCTACTGGTATGGATGGTCTACCTGGTGTTTTGCCCTGACTCCCATGTGGATAGTAGACAATGATGACAAAGAGGAGGAAGAAAAAGAAGATGACTTGGACCAGCAGATGGCATAATGGTTAAGTTGCTGGACTCCGATGTAGTCAACTGAGGTTCAAGTCCCAGACCTGGCAGCCTAAATCTCACACTGGATATACGTATGTGCATGCCCAAAATCCTGAGGGGGAAATGGAGGAGAAGGGATTGCGGCACGGCTATCTCTCCTGAGAGGATGTCTACGCTGTAATCCCTTCTTGTTCATTCTCCTCTCAGGATTTTCGGTGATTTCTCATTTTTTGGCTCTGTCTCTCTGGCAAGCCCATGCACACTATAGCAAAAATCTCTCAAAAAAAAAAAATATTTGCTGGGCACTGGGATTTTACATGTATTATCTCTTTTGATCTGTACAACACTCTATGATGTGGATACTGCTATTATTCCTCTTTATAGATGGAAACACTGAGGCCTAGTAAATTGCCCATGGTCACATAGCTACTAAGTGGCAGAGTTAAGAATCAGATCCTGGGGTCAGCAGGTGGTATGGCACTGGACTCCCCTATGGTTGATTGCAGTTCGAGTCCCGGATCCGGTGGCTTGGTTTTTCACTTTCCTTTTCTCTCTCTCTGATGAAATTAAAAAATAATAATAGTAACAGATATAATTGAATAAATAATTATTTAAAAAAGATATTCAAACCCAGCTCTTTCTGATTCTGGGTTCAGAACCTGAGCTTTTAACTTTCAGACTCTAAACTCTCTCTCTCTTAAACTGATTTATATAGGTTGTATAAACTTCCTAACAGAAGTCTTTCGCCTATATATATTGAGGGTGAAGGTAGTGGATCCTTGGAGCTGAAAAAAAATAGGCGTTACCTTTTACCACAGCACAGATCAGCACATTCTTAAGTATCCAGGGACCTTTTTTTAACTTAATGACTCTAAGTATCATGCTTCTTGAGGACTATCTTACTGCCCTTTAAGTCACTTTCATCTCATGGGCAACCCCACCAAAAAGAGGGGAAGTGGGAACCCCACTGAGACCATGCAACCCGTGCCATCAGCCATGCCTCAGTTTCAATGAGCCTTTTGTCTCAGAGGTTAAGCGCATGGACCAAATGAAAAGTAAGTAATTTTTTTTTTTTCCAAGAGAGACTTTTGCTATAGGGTTGATGAGCTTGCCACAGAGACAGAGAGAGGAAAATCCCCCCTGAGGCAGGATGTCCACGCTGCAATCCCTTCTCATCCATTCTCATCTCAGGATTTTGGGCATGCACGCACCCATGGCCCATGAGTTCCAAGCTGCCAGTTCTGGGACTGGAACCATGGTTGACTATGTGGGAGTCCAGCAACGTAACCATTGCATCATCTGCTGGTCCCGAGAAATAAGTCATTTTTAACATAATTCTGAGTCATCCTTGACCTGTATTGCAACAAAAAGTAAATATTTACTATGGAAAGATGTGAAACCAAGGTAGGTCTGGTCTCACAGGATAAACTGCCACCATGTCATCTGTGTGGCATGTCTTGTATTGGTTATATACAGTTAGGTCTTGCACATGAGGTAGGAGTTTCATATTTTATAAGAAGTGGGGTGATGTGCACGTGTTTGTAGGTTGACTATAAAATATTAAGGAGTAAAAAGGTTGAGATTTTGGTAGGATTTCCAACAGTCACTGAAAACTGCCTGGATTTTGGTGGCATTTCAGCAGTAGCTGGAAACTAACTGGATTCTTAACTGCAGTTCTATCCCTTAGATCAGTGACGTGTTGGTGTAGAAATCAAGTCAGTGATTTACTGAGACTAACTCGGGTAATAGAGTTAGTCTCAGGAGTATGGCTTAGGTCAAGGTAATGACCTAACTCGGGTAATAGAGTTAGGTCAAGACTATGGGTTTGTAGATTCCAAAGGGTAGTGAAATCAGGGATTGAATCCTATTTCTTGCTTGTCCTGTAGCCCAGGTAGTCTGAAAGCCTCCCCGAGCTGTTCTCATCTCTACACTGGGGACAATAGGTTTATGCTATAAAAGAGGTGGTCTTCACACAGTGCCTGGCTCGTAATAACAGTCCAGTAAAGATTCAGTATTACTAATTACAGTAATGTTGTAGAAATGACTTTTTTCTTCTTTGAGCTTTTTGCCATAGGGCGCCTATACTCGCTAGAGAGACAGAGACAGAATGAAAGTGAGAAATTGCCCTCCAAGGGGTGTGGCCATGCCGCAGTCCCTTGGGCATGCATGTACATGTGCCTGGCATGATTTTCAAGCCTCCAGGTCTGGGACTCAAACCACAGTCAGCCACGTGAGAGTACAGTGCTTTAACCACCATGCCATCTACTGGCCCTGAAAAACACATTTTTTTTTTTAGAATTATTTTATTGAACTTTATTTATGTATGTGTTTATTTTAATTTACCAGAGAGGGACAGAGAGAGAGAGAGAGAGAAAGAGAGAGAGAGCATGAAAACTACCAGGTCCGAGACTGGAACCGCAGTCAGCCATGTGGGAGTCCAGCACCCTTAACCACCACACCACCTACTGGCTCCAAAAACTTTTTAAAGAAACTGTATTTATATATTTCATTAGAGGGAGACAGGGACAGAGATATAGCACCCCCACAGGGTCTCGATACCGCGGTTCCCCCTGCAGCCTCAGTAGCTGAGATCATGGGCACACGTGTGTCTGGTGTACCCAGGGAGGGAGGTCTCTGGCCTCAAACCATTCGTCTTCTCCTGTGAACGCCTTGCAGGGCACACATTTTGCTCCTACACTACTGTTTGGCCCAATGTAATTCTTATTTTATAAGACATTGTAGTAATACTTCTTAGCCCCCCTCCCCATCAAGTATATAATTTTTTAAAAAATTGTTTTATTTAACTTATTTATTTATTTAAGTTTGTCCAGAGAGGGACAGAGTGAGAGAGTGAAAGAGGGAAAGTGAGAAAGCAAGCCTCCAAGTCTAGGACTCGAACCACGGTCAGCCATATGGGAGTCCAGCGTCCCTTGCCAACACACCACCTGCTAGTCCCTGCAATTATTAATCATTTATTTAAACAATTTCTGCTTTTAGGGTTTGAGGTTATGAGATAGAGATAATATTTTGCAGGGGTGTTTGTGGGAAAAGCGGGGAGTCAGAATGAAAAGAACCCAGAGCTGTGTGACCTTGGGCAAGTAACTTCCATGTGGGCCTACACTTCTCAGGAGCAGGGGGAAGTGGGAGGCGTGCGAGCAGAAGCTATGCGCTTGGGTGTCCTTGACTGTGAAGATGTGGGTGAGCTGGTCTCTAGCAGGTTCCAGGGACCATTTTGAGCTACTAAGTTCTGTGGTTGCAAATATGTTTTTTTCTTTCTGTCCTCTTTTGGGTTCTTTTCAGGTAAGTAACTAGCAATAAAGCCCAGGTCAGTTACCCAGCTTGCTTGTTTTCTCACCAATATAGTGAGTGAGAAAGTAGAGAAAGTCTGAATTGTCATTAAAAATTATGTGTGGCAGGGACCAGCAGGTGGTGTGGTGGTTAAAGGGCACTGGATTCCCACATGGCCGACTGCAGTTCGAGTTCTGGACCTGGCAGCTTGCTTTCTCACTTTCCCTTTCTCTGTCTCCCTCTCTGGTCAAATTAAAAAATAGTGATAACAAATGGAGCTAAATAAATATTTTTATTTATTTGGCAAAGCACACATGCCCTATAGCAGAAAATTTTAAAAAGAATTAAATAATCAGAATTAAAAAAGAAAATTGAGGGACCAACAGATGGCATAATGGTTGCATCGCTGGACTCCCACGTAGTCAGCCACAGTTGGAGTCCCAAACCTGGTGGCTCACACCGGCCGCTTGAGTGCATGTGTGTGTGCCCAAAATCCTGAGAGGAGAATGGAGTAGGGATTGTGACATGGCCATCCCCCCCCCAGGGGGTGATTTCTCTCTTACTGTTTCTCTGGCTAATGCACACACCCTATGACAAAAATCTCTCTTAAAAAAAAAAAAAAGAAAGAAAGAAAGAAAGAAAATTAAAACTGCTGAATCTAAGTATGGACATCCAGGCAAAACACAAAGCAGGGGAAGACTTTCTGAAGGAGGTGATTCCTGAAAAAGATAAAAATAGATTGATAAAGATAGGAGAGAAATAGCATTTTGAGAGAAAAGAGCAAATATATGTGAGATTAAGGGAAAAGGTGCAACACAGAGAAAGCCTAACCAGCTTCGATAATACTTACAGTATGTATAAAAATTAATGGTATTTTCATACTCTGTATTTTTGTTACCACCTAAAGGCTTTGTTCATTCTATTAGAACAAAATTCATTGCAGGACCAGCAGATGGCATAATAGTTATGTCGCTGGACTCCCACATAGTTGACTGTGTTTCAAGTCCCAGACCTGGTGGCTTCAAACTCACGCCAATCATGTGTGTGTTTGTGCCCAATATCATGAGAGGAGAAGGGATTGCAGGATAGCCATTCCCCTGGGAGATGATTTCTCGCCTTCTGTTTCTGTCTCTCTGATGAGTGCACCATCCAATAACAAAAATCTCTCTTAAAAAAAAAAAAAAGTTTTTTTAGTAGACACATTTCTACCAGCACTGGGAAATGTGATTGGCATTGAGTTAGGGTATGACTTTGTTAACACCTCCCTGTAGAAGTTTGTCACTTGACCAAAATTGTGTGTATATGGCTTTTTATTGATTTCTTTTAGATGGTATCTTGCTATGTCACAATTCTCTCTCAGCTCCCTGAGTAGTTGGGACTACAGGCATGCACTACCTTTAGGGTGGGCGGGGATTCGAACCCAAACCTCTTTCATGCAACCTCAGCCCGCTGACCAGCAGTATCTACCAGCTCTCATTACTGCACTGGGAAAAATTCTGTTTTATTGGCTGCTAACATATTATTGACAAAGTATTGCATGGAAAACATTGTATTTATCATAATAATATATTTACTGAGACCAGCAATGTTGTAGAGTAAAAACAAATCCTTATGCCTAAAGGAATTTCTCTAGAAGGATCAATATCATCTTCAGTATTCTGGAGAAGAGCAGGTGTTATATCTTTATTGATAATTTTTTACCTCCAAATTGAAAGTGTCTAATATATAACTACTGGAATAATTTAATTTGATTTTGGAGAGAATTTTTCCTGTAGAATCAATAAGTGGCCCTGTTATCTCCATGTAAGACAAACATGTCACACCTTCTTTAAATTCTATAAACATGGCACGCTTTCTTTAAATTCTACTGTAAGCATCAAGTCCTTAACTCAATCATACTCAAGTATCTAGTGGGTAAAAGTCATTTTAGGGATTCCCTCTGAGGAATAGGAGAAAAGTTTGAAGATTACCCCCATTGAAATTTATTACTGGACTCGAGCTATTTTTAATAGGGAAAATTTTAAATGAGTAATAGCATGTATGCTTTTTTAAAAGGTTCAAATATTTTATAATCTGACTGCTTGGGAGGGTGTTAAGTAAAAAGTGTGTGACATATTTCCTTGTATCCTTGCTGGTGTGTAAAAATCGTTTTTGTTTTTAGTTTTGTGGTTTTTTTTTTTTTCCTGTTTGAACAGAGTGCACAGCCGTGTAAGCATTGCTTAATCGTGTGTCACTGGCCAGTTCCCTGAAATATTTCAGACGCACACACACCCACATGCATACCCTCTCACTCACTCTCACCTGTCTCCTGGGGCTCACTTCTAATGAACTGCGAGCCCGTTTGCTTCCTCCGTGCCCAGGAACACTGTACCTGTGTACACACAGATCGGCTGCCTGGAGACCTGTGGCACCAGGTCACGTGATTGTTGCCATGAGTGTGGAGGTGCCTTTTTCTTTTCTTTCTTCCTTCTTCTGTCCTTATCTTGTTTCTTTTAGCTGGGCAGATGTTGCAGGTTCACAGGTCTTTACAGGCCCAAGTCTGAAAAACTTTGGACTCCTGGCTTTTCACTATGGGATCATCTCTGGATTTCTTTTAGGGTGCCACACCTCCTATCAAGGCTGCAGCTCCAGACTTTTCTGACAAGCAAGGAGCTTTGGAAACCAGGGTGGAGAAAGCGAGGTCCGAGCCTGCAGAAGTCCTCCATGTCTGCAAAACCCAGATCGCCGAGCTGGAGCTGTGGCTGCAACAAGCCAACGTGGCATTTGAGCCGGAAACATTAAACTCAGACATGCAGCAGGTGGTGGAACAGCAGCTGGTAGGGTGCCAGGTAAGTCCTGCCCGTCAGAGTTCATGGCTTGCCTCTTGCCTCTTCGCCAATCACCTGCCAAATCTGGGTGAATTTCTCTTAAAGTGATAGTATGTTTATTTCTGTTACTATAAACCTTAAATTTATTTTGCCCTCAAATTTTAGTTCTCTTGGAATGCTTTATGTAAGCCACAGATTGGAGGGGACAGTGGCGATTCAGAGCTCAGAACCTAGAGTCCAAGACCAGCTCATGGACTGTGACTTTGGGGGAGTAACTTCTTCGCCTCATGTACTTCACAGAGAAAGCTACAGGGTTTTTGTCATGATGAAATAAGGTATAAAGAGCAGCATCTGGTATATGAAGTATATAAAATGGTTCAATCAGTACTATTACTTTTATTCAGAATAAGAAGTACTTAGAATATTTATTCATCATAAATGAAACTGAATGTCCTGATTTACAAGACTGCAGATACAGCATAAAAGGGCTTTGTGACCATTTTACTAGGAGTGCTCCTACTCTTGTTGGGGAGGGGCAGGGATATAAACTTCCTTGCTTTTAGTCACCCTGAGAAAGCTTGCCACATGCTGGCTCAGCTCAAGGTTGGGATCGCTATATCCCCCAGGGAACAGTGGAATGACGACATCGCAACAGTGTAATTGTCACAACAGCTGAGGCACAGCAGCCACTGCAAAGGCTTCTCCCACTGCTGCACTTGGGAGACCGACCAGCCTGGGCCTGGCATCCTTGCCTTACGGGCCTGTTTATCTGCCAGAGATGAGGTCATGGTCTTGTCTTGTCACGGAGTACTCCATATTGCTGACCTGGCCACAGGAAGTGCTTTCTGCCCGTAGCCTGTTACGAGGTTGGGACCAGCCATCCTCTTTCTGGACATGTGCATTCCTCTCCTATTCAGGTCCTCAGACTTACAACAACCAGGACTGCCTAGGGGGGGAACCAGGCGGACAGGCTGACCTCCCCTGGGCAACTCAGCACCTTTTACCCCAAACGCCAATTCTATTGGGATAGGTTCACTCAAATACTGGCTGGCCCTGCTTCTTGGCCTGGCTGATACGATACAGAGGAGCCTGTGAAAAGGCAGAGTATAATACAGCACAGAACAGTGCTGGGCTAACCTGAATCCCAGGTGTTCTCGGTTTGGAGTCCCAACCATTTAAGGCCACCCAGGGTCAATTTGCCATTGTCTGCTGGCTGGATAGGCCCTGGATAGGCTCCTTGATCATCCGTGGAGTCCAGTCCCTGCTGCCACTTGTAAGGAGTGCGAGGATTTCAGGCCTGACCACCAGGTGGCAGTAGCACCCAACAAGCTTTATTTGGACTGTTTTTTTTACACACTCAGGGTTAATGAGGGATGAGGAGGTTCTTTACAGCAGGAGACTTTCCAAATGCGGGGACATGGGATGAGGGTGTTGCCATTACCCAGAAGGGAAGAAATGGCAAAGTAATTCCTGAAGGAGAGGCGAATCAGAGAGGGCACTTGTGTATTGGTGATGCTCTAGCACAGTGTAGACGCTGGGTTAGAGAGGTCTGAATGCAGCAGCTTGGGAGTTTTCATAGCCTCAGGGTTTGTCTTATTTGTGGCAGGTGTCAGGTATAGTTTAGGGGGTATCTAAATCAGGCAGGCTCTAAATGTCTAAAATATTCTGATTTGGGCTATATTTCAAGCCACTGAATACATAAATTTAATTTGAGTTCACATCCACCAGTGGGCTTTGAGCTAATGGTTCTGACCTGCTGTGAGAAATAAACAACTTGGGATCAGCAGTTGGTGTAATGGCTATGTCGCTGGACTCTCACGTAGTCAACTGCGATTCGAGTTCCGGACTCGGTGGCTTAAACTCACGCCGGGCGCATGTGTGTGCGTGTGTGCCCAAGATCCTGAGAGGAGAATGGAGGAGAAGGGATTGTAGCGTGGCCATTCCCCTGGGGGTGATTTCTCACTTTCTCTCCTCAGTCTCTCTCTCTCTTTCTGGCAAGCGCACGCGCCCTATAGCCAAAAAAAAAAAACCTATTAAAAAAAAAAGGAAAAAACCAAGTCAGTGTTCAGGGCTAGCCTAGCTGGCGGCTGCACTGTTGGTAACAGACTGATCTGCAAGGCCACCAACTAGGCTTATCAGAACCCACACAGCTGACCATGAGTTCCGATTCCTGAGCCCGCCTGAAAACATGCCGGGTACATGCAGACATTCACAGGGACCTGCAGGCTGGAGGGCCGAGGAAAGGGCATCGCAGAATAAAGACCCTGTTGCGGGTGCTTCTCTTTCTCTCTCTTTTGTGCACGTATATACGTTTTCTGTCATGAACAAAATACTTTTTTTAGAAAAGGGTTTGAAAAATGTTTATATAGAAAGGCCGTCTTTGGCTCATTCATGTAACAACATGACACATATAATCAAATATCAAAACACAAAATCCGTAAAGTGGCCTCTAAAAACGCTAGGTTCTCATGGGAAAATGACCAAAGGACAGGAACAAACAAATCAGTCAAGGGAAATTATATTTGGTAACTTAATATTTGAGAAATGATTAAAACATGTGAAGTGAAACAGCTGTTGTTTAGTTCATACATTACATTAGCAGGAATTATATCATCCTGGCAAAACTTTGGGAAATAAATCTGCTCGTGTTTGGTCGTTCCCGTTTGTTCAGTGTTTTGGAAGGTGAACTCTCAGTGTATAAAATACTTTTCTTTTTGATGTAATCACACCATTATTTTAAATTTACCCCTTGAAAGCAATCTAAAATGAGACAATTTTGGCAATCTTGTTTATAAAAGTAAAGAACTCAAAACATCTTAAATGGATGAAATTAAGGAAGGTTTTAAGGGACTCACAGAATATCGGCCTGCCGGTATTAAAATGGAGCCATGACGTCTGTGTAGGCACATGAAAAAGGATATTTATAAAGATAAGGGGGGATGGCATAAAATGGTAGTGTATTTTGTTTACAGCCATTCTAAAATCTGTGAGTACATATTGGCTAAGCTTAGACTCTGTAGAGGGTATAAGTCATTTTCTTGAATGAAAGAGTTATAAGGCAAATTATTTGAAAACGTACTTTCTGGGTAGGGTTCTTTTACGTTTCCCTCAGTGAACCGAACCTGCTGTTAGGCATGCACTGAGCTTCAGCAGATGATCATGGAGCTGCAATGTGAGCATACATGCAGCAGCTGACTGCGCGCAGCTAGTTGGCATGGCTGTGCGCTTCAGAGCTCCAGGAGAAGGCAAACTTGATCTGTCGGGTAGGAATACAATGACCATTACTTTCTGGGAAACTGACTTCATCCAGCGTATTTATTTTTAGAGCCGTGTATAAATTGGCCAGTTATATCAATGACTAAGTGTTTTAGGTTCCAAGCTATTTCTTCTCTGGTATTCTCTGAATAGTTTTAGAGACTTCTTTGGTTTGAAAAAGAGAGAAAATTTCTAATAGTTCTATGGAATTCTTTTTTCATTCATTCTCATCACTTGGCTTACAACGAAAAAGATTAGGGAGGTGGAGGAAAAATAATAATGGTAGTCAACACTTTTAGGCACAAGCTATTCATCAAAGTACATGGATTTACCTCATTGAGTCCTACAGTGACCCTGTGAGGTAAGTTCTGTTATTATCTCTGTTTTATTGACCACCATAGGCACTCACATAAAGTAAGGTGCCCACATTTACACTGATACTAAGTGGCCGGGCTAGGATCTGAAGCTTGGTGTTCTAGTGCCAGTATCTGTTTCCTTCCTCCCCTCTGCCCTGTCCAGTCTGCCAGAGGGTGCATATGTTTGCTGGAGAGAGACAGGTGAGAGAGAGAAAGCCAGAAATCACCCCTCTCCCAGAGGGAATGGTCACCTTCTCTATTTTTCCTTTTGAGATTTTGGGTGCACATGCACTGGATATGTTTATCAAGCTGCTTTAACCACCCTGCTAGAGGCCGGCTCACATGTATGTTCTTAATCAAATGTTGTGCTGGATACATTTGACTGCATTTTCTAACGTGATTATAGATGATGGATTTTAGAGAGTGATGTCTACAATTAGGGCTAGTTTGATTGTACTTTTCCTGAAGAGCACAAGAATTACGTAGAAGTTTTTGTTTTTCCAAGGTCCTTTCCATCCTGTGTTTCCGAGACTTCATGTGTGCACTTAAAGTATGTAAAGTAAGTCTAACTTATTTGGAGTCTAAGACCAGCACTATGAGTAATTAAATAATTTTACTTCCTAGGCTACGCTGACAGAGATTGAACACAAGGTTGCCTCTCTGTTAGAGAATTGGGAAGTCCATGGCCTGGGAGATAATGGAGCCACCCAGCATGAGGTAGAAGCACTTGCCTTAAAACTAAAATCTGTGAAGTGCGATTTGGAAAAAGTTCAGAGAATGCTTCAGGAGAGGTACAGTGAGAACCAGGTAAATATGGCTGCCTATAGACCCGTGTTTCAATATCCATATGGCAGGCCCACCAGAGGATTACTGTGGGTGGAGTTGTGAACCAGTTACAGAGAAACTGCACGAGCTAAGAACTGTGCATCTTAATCTGAACAGGAGATACACTGGCTTTTGTTATTTCTATTTCATTTTACTGTGCAAGTTTCTTATCAAGGTGGTTGGTGATGGCAGTAGGTTGGTTTGGGTTGGTTTGATGAGGTTGAGTGATCGTGCTGGTAATGAGGTCTAGTGGGAGGCTGCTTCATAAAACAAGGATGTATCTCAAAGAAATTTTGTGAATTGATTGACAGGAAAATGAAGCCTTTATAGATAATAAAATTTGACATCAGAATCACAGTACCTATTTCCAGTATACTTTTGCTATTCAAATATTTATATACACTGATCAAAATATTATACAATTGGGACCAGCAGTTGGCATAATGGCTATGTTGCTGGACTTTCACGTAGTTGACCGCGGTTTCAAGTCCTGGACCCAGTGGCTTAAACTCACGCCAGGCATGTGTGCATTCATGCCCAAGATCCCAAGAGGAGAATGGTGGAGAAGGGATTGTGGCGTGGCCATCCCCCCCTGAGGGGTGATTTCCCACTTTCTGTCTCTTTGTCTGTCTCTTTTGGGCGAGCGCACGCACCCTATAGCAAAAACCTCTCAAAAAAAAAAATATATATATATATAAAATACAATTAAAGTATTCTCAAAATTTTGAAAAGCATTACATGTTTATAAATGCAAACGTGCATCTTATGAGTAGAATTTTACTATATAAGATTTGCATCCATACTTACAGACAGTTTCCACTTCGGACTTAGGTTCACAGATGTCAGACTGGCTACAGAAATGAGGGGACTACAAAAAGTAGAAGGAAAAAGCATATTATGAAAAAAAATGCATAGATTTGACCTTTTTATTTTTTGCATTAAAATAAACTTGTACTTTAAGGCCAGTTTTTTCCATGTACTTTTTGAAGTACGTAGGCCATATGGTTCCTCTTTCATCCTAATTTAGTGTATGTTAAAAATATACTTCAGACATATTGAAAATTTGAATACATAAATATATTTTATTTTCTTTTCGATTTGCCAAGGGTGTATGTGCTCACCTGAGAGAACCAGGGAGAGAGGGCGCCAGTGTGGGGAACAGACACTGCAGTCCTCCATTCCTCCCTTCCTTTGGGATTTGGGCGCACCTGCTCATGGACCAAGACACTGGGTCTGGGACTCAAGTGTGCATTTGGTCATGTGAGATTCAGGTCCCCTAAACACAAATGGGCTGGCACTCTATTTACCTTTTAATACTAATATATATATATATATATGTA